AGAACTTGCAGCATTGTTTTCAAAACCCTAAGCTCGTGGTTTTATTAATTTTGCTTTTTGATATTTCATGAGTGGCAGACTTTCAAAGTGGATTGAAAGTTGCTTAGTGGGGAGAAACAGAACCCTGCAGCCCAATGGTCTCAATGTGGACTTCACAAGCTTCAAAATCTCCCCACCCCCGACCTCATCCCAAGACCAGCCCAGCTCATCCCTGCCTCCTTGACCTGTCCGTCTTCTCTCCCACCTACCCCCCCCAATCAACCAACTCCCATCCCAAATCCCTACCTACACTCACCTTTACTAGCTCCATCCCCACCTCCTTGACCTGTCCATCTTCTCTCCACCTATCTGCTCCTCTTTCCACCTTCCATCATCGCCTCCCCCTCTCTCTATTTATTTCAGAGTCCCCTTCCCCTCCCCCATTTCTGAAGAAGGGTCCCGACCCGAAACGTCAGCTTTCTTGCTCCTCTAGTGTTCTGCTGTGTTCATCCAGCTCTACACCTTGTTATCTCAGACTCCAGCATCAGCACTTCCTACTATCTCTAAGTGACAGGTGCATTTCTGAAGAAGGGTCAGTGGGCTTGAAATGTTAACTCTGTTTCTCTCCACAGATGCTGCTAAATCTGCTGAGTTTCTCCAGCGATTCCTGTTTTTGTTTCAGTTTTTTTATTGATAACTAATAGGTAATGGTGTCACCGTGTCTATCAATGGATTTGGATGTCAGATCATTCAGCTGGTTAGAATGTGATGCAGAATACCAATGGTGTGGGATCAATCCCTGTACTGATAGTGGTAACTCATAGAATGGAGTTACGTCCCTCAAACCAGATGTAAACAGTGTGTCTGTCTAATGGTTAAATGCTCCTTTGTGGAATATAGTTAATTACCAGATATAAAAATGTTTAGGCAATGTCAGAATTATTTTTACTTATTTTTCCAGTATGTTCACTTCTAGCTCCTTATGCAATAGGAAAGGGTTATGGAGACAGCGATCCATGGTGGATTCCCATGGCAATGCCTTGACAAATTAGATTGTCATCAGCTATGTGGAGGTGCTGGTGTTGGCCTCTGGTGGACAAGGGTCAGAAGTCACACAACACCCAAAACGTCAGCTTTCCTGCTCCTCTGATGCTGCTTGGCCTGCTGTGTTCATCCAGCTCTACACCGTGTTATACCAAGTTATAGTCCAACAGGGTTTATTTGAAATCACAAGCTTTTGAAGAGCTGCCCCTTCATCACCTGACAAAGGGGTAGTGCTTCGAAAGCTTGTGATTTCAAATAAACCTGTTGGACTATAACTTGGTGTTGTGTGACCTCTGATCCTGTCATCAGCTAAGAATAACAATTAACAGTTCCTGCCCCTCCATGCCAACCATGACCCAAGCAATCAGCGCCCACTCCTCTTACTGTGCAAAGTATCATCCCCTTTCAAAATTTGCAAACTTACATTCCAGTCCTTCGATTTCAAGTCTCCAATGTTTCACTTCTAAACTACCAAGCAATTACTTGTATAATGCTTAATGTTTACTAATGATTTTGAAGATACTACTTTGAGACGAGTAAAGTATCTAACATCTTGGACAATCAGCTCCATAACTAATGATCAATAAGCTCACATGAATAATAACGTTCATTAAGCTTGCTGTTAATTTACCATCAAATTCAGCAAGGCAGTCAAGAATATCACTACATGTATATGACAAATAAACTTAGTATTCAAAGTGGCAAATAATTGTCAAATAATGCGTAGAATCCTTTGTTTCATTATTGTCAGTGCGCTGTTATCCATTAGAATCATAGAATCCCTACAATATGGAAGCAGGCCATTCAGCCCATCACATTCACACCAACCCTCTGAAGAGAATCCCACCTAGACCCATCCCCCTGCCCTATCCCTGTAGCCCTGCATTTCCCATGGCTAATCCACCTAGCCTGCACATCCCTAGACTATGGGTGATTTAGCAATCCACCTAACAGCCACATCTTTGGACTAGGGAGGAAACCAGAGCACCCTGAGGAAACCCACACGGACACGGGGAGAATGTCCAAACTCCACACAGACAGTCGCCCAAGGGTGGAATCAAACCCAGGTCCCTGGCGCTGTGAGGCAGCAGTGCTAACCACTGAACCACCTTGCTGCATTATTTGAATGAGCTTCATCTGTTGTTTCATTCTGCTTCTATTCTTCTTTGGTTTTACCCATTTTTGTTTATTTCTCATTGCTGATCACATAAAAATTCCTTTATACCGCTTATCTATTTTAGCTTTGATGAAGATTCCACATCCAAAAATATTCAGCAGCCTTTTTATTGTCCATAGATGCTAATGGACTGATTGATTATTTCCAGCATTTTCCCTTTTCTCTCATTTTTTGTGAACTCTTGTTTCCTCAAAAGTCTAGCACTTTGCATCATCATTGCTGAGCCAATTTTATAACCAAACTTTCATAACACTCAGCAAGTTATCACTTTCAAATGAAGGAGTCACATATAAAATTTGCTGTCTGTCAGTTTAAGTTTCAGTTCATTTGTGCAACACAGTAGATTCTTTATTGGTTGATTGCCCTGGGCAGGATGTAGGGGAGAGGTGGTTGGGAGTTGGGTAAAGGAATATTGTCTCCTGTCTGATGGAATTGGTCCAAAGCCTAGTGCATTTCTCGTGACTTCTCATGTGTTTTGAGCAGGTCATTGATGAGGAGGGTCAGGAGGTTTGACATCTCTATTGTAGAGCACAGCCTGGTGGAAGTGATTTATATAGTGAAGGGCGGGTGGTTGGATCACTGAAGAAAATCAGCCAAGAAAGTGGTGGGTAAAAATTTGACAGACCAGGGCTTTAATTCTCTACTACATCTGAAAAACAACATTTCAGATGAGTGGGTTGCATCATAAGACCATAAGACATAGGAGCAGAAGTAGGCTGTTCGGCCCATCGAGTTTGCTCTGCATTCAATGAGATTACGGCTGATTTGATAATCCTTGACTCCACTTTCCTGCCTTTTCCCTATAATCCTTGATTCCATTATTGATTAAAAACCTGTCTCAGTCTTGAATGTACTTAATGACCCTGGCTCTACAGCAAAGAATACCACAGAGTCACTACCCTTTGAGAGAAGAAATTTCTCCTCATCTCTGTCTTATGTGGGCCAACTCTTACTCTGAGATTATGCCGTCTGGTCCTGGATTTGCCTAAAAGGAGAAGTAGACTCACCTCATCCATCCTGTCGAGTGTGCTAAGAACAAAAACAAAGTTGCTGGAAAAGCTCAGCAGGTCTGGCAGCATCTGTGAAGGAAAAAACAGAGTTAATGTTTCGGGTCCGGTGACCCTTCAGTTTTTTCCTTCTGTTTTTTTCCTTCACAGATGCCGCCAGACCTGCTGAGCTTTTCCAGCAACTTTGTTTTTCTTCCTGATTTACAGCATCCACAGTTCTTTCAGTTTTTATCAAATGTGCTAAGAACCTTGCATGTTTCAATACTGTCACTTTTCATTCTTCTAAACTCCAATAATATAGTATACGCATGACCTACTCAATGTTTCCCCTTCTATGCCTGGGATCAACCTAATCCTCTTATCTGGACTACCTCCAATGCCAGAATATCTTTCTTTAGATTAGTTCCTTTAAGAAGTAGTGGATGTGGGTACAATTACAACATTTAAAAGACATTTAGATAAGAACATGAATAGGAAAGATTTGGAGGGATATAGGCCAGGAGCAGGCAGGTGGGACTAGTTTAGTTTGGGATTATGGTTGGTATGGACTTGTTGGACCGAAGGGTCTGTTTTCATGCTGTATGACTCTATGACGACTCAATACCAAGTACCAATCCAAAGAGGTAATTGTGTGACAATTGCGCCACCCATTGGAAGTCTACAATTGCATTAGGGCCTTAGTGATATCAAGTTTCTGGCAGTCTCCTGGACCATCCATTTCAGAGCCCCAGGGAACATGGTGAAGACCCACTTGTCAATGGGAATGTGGCACAAAATTTTAATCCAGTAACTGCCTTATTCACACCCAAAACAAATGAAAATTAGTCCGACTGAATATTTACCTATTCACTTGTTCTTCCTCTACAAAATAAAATAGCTATTGAGTTAAATAGTAGAGCAAAGGCACGTGTCAATTTTAAAATATAATTTGGCTTTCAATTTTCCAAGTTAATGGGAGCAGAGCCTCTGGCTGAATGTAACCAAATTAATAAGGCTTTCAAGTTGAATACTGCACCGAAGGAAAAACAAGTGAAACTTGCAAATGATGCATACTGATCTGTGTTCCTCAGAATAATGCTCCAATACAAACAATGCATTCACTTCAAGGTATGAAATAAGCTGACTTAGAAATTCAACATGTAACAGGACCATTTCAGCAAGGCCAGTCAGAGAATTTCCACCATAGCCATTTAGAGGTCTTGTCAAGCTCACCATAAGTCAGATTATAAAAATGCATTTGTGAATCAATCTGCTGGTACATGTTATGGTACACCCCAGTGACAGGTGGGACATTTATTCACTGACAGGTTTTGGGCATCTCTGGCTAAAGCAGCATTTATTGCCCATTCCTAATTGCCCAGAGGGCAGTTAAGTGTCAACCACTGTGATGCAGGTCTGGAGTCACATGAAGACCAGACCAGGCAAGGATGATAGATTTCCCTTCCTGAATGACGTTAGTGAACCAGAAAAGTGTTTTTTTTCCCTGACAATAGTTTCATGGTCATCCTTATATATCTAGATTCGTTACTGAATTCAAATTCCACCATCTGCCATAGAGGAATTTGAACCCAGGTCCCTGGAACATTAGCTGAGTTTCTGGATTAACAGTCTCATGATAATACCACTAGGCTATTGGCTCTGCGTTAACTTCAGTATGGATCTTCCAGCACAGCGATAGGGACATTACCATTGCTTCACAAGAGCCTCTAAGCTACATGACCAATGGTTGTGACATTCCATCAGCCAGGCATTTTTCAAATCTTAATGCAGCGTATTTCTTTCTGCCCTGACAGGATCATATGGACTCACGGCACCCAGCGAGGTGAACGGAAGGTTAGGAGAGTCCATCACTGTGGACTGCCAGTACAACATAGCAAGTAACCGGGATTCTGAGAAGTATTGGTGTAAAGGAAAAATGAGTTATTCATGCACCGTGTTGGCATCCACTACAGAAGTACAGCAGGAAAGATCCAGTAGACTGTTCATTATGGACAATCAAACCATTGGAATATTTTCAGTAAAAATGCAGCAATTATCACCGGAAGACGCAGGATGGTATTGGTGTGGGATAACAAGGCTGGGCAAAGATGAAATGACTTGTGTTAAATTGAATGTTCTCACAGGTAAGCTGAGTTATTAATCACCATTTATTGACTTCAAGCACAGTGTAAGAATTCCAATAAATGAACAATTCACTGCTGTTGTAACCTGTTTAAACAGAGAAAGTTCTTAGATTTATTCAATTAAAAAAAAGGTTTAAAACAAACATGGAGAAGGCTGGAGAAACTCAGCAGGTCTGGCAGCATCTATGGAGAGAGAAACAGATTCTTCTTCAGAAAATAAAGGTTTCTTGGACCTAAACTGTATATGGAAGATAAATCAACACCCCACACATTTGACTGGTGGTGCTACATGATTAGAAAGCAGATATACAGTCAGAGTCTATGCAGAGAAAACAGATAATGTTTTGTGTAGAACTTTCCACAGAACTGAACTTTGAAAGGTAAACAGGGAACAGCGTTATTGTTGCATGAAGAAAGGACAGGGTGAGAAAAGAACACAAGAATAGCAATGTTTATATAAATATAAATATTTACAGGATAGTTACAGTAGAAAGAGGCTATTCAGCCCACCATAAATACACTGGATCTCTCAATGAGCAATTCATGTAGTACCATTCCCTTGCAACTTTCCTGCAATCCTGCACATTCTTCCTTTTCAGATAATAATCCAATTCCCTCCTAAAAGCCTCAATTGAACCTGGATCCAACACACTTTCAGGGATCGCACTCCTTTTCTTTCATACTCATTGTGTGTAAAGGTTCCTGTCCATGTCCCTCATTGCATCTTTTCCCAATTACCTTAAATATGTGCCCCCTCATTCTCAATCCTGCCATGAGTGGGAACCATTTTTCTTTATCTACTCTGTCCAGAGCCCTCGTAATTTTGAACACTTCTCTCAAATCTCCTCTCACTTTCTATTCTCCAAGAATGACAGTGCCAATTTCTCAACTTTATCTCCATGCTAAAATGTTCATTCCTGAAGTCCATTTCATGAATCTTTTCTGCACACTGTGCAATGCATTCACATAACTGTGGAAGAAGGATATTTATGGTTTGATGTGGGAGGTGGAGTCAATCAAGCAAATGCAATGGAAATGATGAAAGCTGGAAAAAAGGGATGAAGCTCCTTCAGAAAATGAGATGGGAAGAAACATACTTTAGACAGTTGCTGGCATCTGCAAAAAGTCCATCAGAGAGAGATAGAAATAGAGGGAAGAACTTGATCAGGAAAGAATCACGAAATTGAAGGTGGGAGAAATTAGAATTATGGTCAAATTCTCAAGAGAAAGTAAAAAAAGTAAAACTTGCAAACAATATATATTGGTCTGACTTGTATTGTAGACCTCAAAATGGAGTTCCAGTATATCCAGTACATTCATTTCCAAGTATTTACTCTTGTTTCCTTCTGGGAGAATACAGCAAAAGTGTTGAGGTAGAATAAATCTGGAGAAGGAAGATCAAAGTAGAAGAAAACCATATCATTGAAATGGCCAAGCAAACCTGATAGTCATGCATGTCCCAAAGAAGAGAATGGATTTCATATTGAAGTTGAAAGAGGAGAACTATTTCAGGCAAACTTCCATTCTACCACAAGGGGACGGGTCATTTATCTGCCCTGGGTGGTGAAGATTTAAATCTACTCTGTCATTTTAAGGCTTTATAATTGGAACAGGTGATAAATTAATGTAAAAAGATAATAAAAACATCAAACGCTGAAGGGGAAGTCAAAATACTGAAGGAATTAAAATTGATGAAGCAAAACAGAATGCGCTGAAGAAACTCAGCAGGTCTGGCTTCACCTGAGGAGAGAGAAACAGAATTAACATTTCAAGTCTGATAAAACTTTCCTTCAGAAGTGAGCTGGCATGTCAGAAAAAGAGTGATCTCAGACTGGAAAGGATAATTCTGTTTCTTTGATTGATTTGATTTGATTGATTTATTGTCGCATGGACCAAAATACAGTGAAAAGCTTTGTTTACGAGTGGTACAGACAGATCACAGCAAGCAAAAGATGTACAGATCAAAAAGACTTTGAGGCATACAGGTTACCTTGCAGGTTACATTATTTGAGGCTAGAGTCCGTTCAACAGTCTGATAATGGCCGGAAATAAGCTGTTCCTGAATCTGCTTGTGCGTGTGTTCAGGCTTCTGTATCTTCTGCATGACGGAAGATGTTGTAGGAGAGCATTACCGGGGTGCGATGGATCTTTGACAATTTTAAATGTCTTTCCATGGCAGCAAGTGTATAAATAGTCCATGGATGGAAGGTTGGCTTCCGCGATGGTCTGGGCTGTGCACACCACCTTCTGTAGTTTCTTACGGTCCTGGGCAGAGAAATTGCCATACCAGGCCATTATGCACCCAGACAGAATGCATTCATTTGTGTGTCAGTAGAAGTTGGTGAAGGACTTTATGGACATGCCAAATTTCCTGAGCTGCCTGAGGAAGAAGAGGCGTTGTTGTGCCCTCTTAACTGCCGCATTTACGTGGGAAGTCCAGGACAGGTCATCAGTTATCGTCACTCTAAGGAACTTGATGCTCTTCATCCTCTCAACCTCAGTTCCATTGACATAGATGGGGGCGTGTTCACCTCCTTTCTTTCTGAAGTCGATGATCAGTTCTTTAGTCTTTCCCTACAGGTGCCAGGCCTACTGAGTTTCGTTGCCATTTTTCTGTTTTTATTTCAAATTTTCAGCATAAAGTTGGTGATTTAGTTTTAAAGTGGTGTTCAGTGGGGAATTTCTGTTGGGAAATGCTCACACAAACAAAAAGACTTTCAACTATTGATCCACTCTTCAACTCTGTACGTAGCTGCTCTCTGTGTGGACAGGTTTATGTTGACAACCTTCAGACCCCATGGGGAAGCTGATATTTCTTGTGAAGGACTGATCAGCTGATACAGGTTCAATGAGCTGGCAGTTGTTGTGTTGCAAAGTTTTTAAAGCACAAAATGTAAATAGATAGCACTGATAAAAAAACAAACTAAAATGGAAATAATACACAAATAATCTACGTTTCACTGTTCGAGAAGCTACAAGATGTGTGTGTATGTCTGATTTAGCTTAGACCTGACATTTTGTGATTTTGACTTTATCATGATTCTTCTTTCCTCTCACACTGATTTACCTGCAGCAGATTTTTGTGACTTTTCGCTTGGTTATAAATGAAGCAAGAGATGGCCAAGATGTTTTAGTGTTCAAAGCTGAAGTGGAACATGGAATTGGTTCTCTTACTGTCCAGAAATGGGAACAGGAGTTGGCCACTTGAACCCTCGAGTCTGTTCTGTCGTTGAATAGGATCATGGCTGATCTGATATTTGTCACATTCACTTTCCTACTTTTTCCCTACAACCCTTGGTTCCCTTACGAACCAAGAAACCATCTACCTCAACTTTAAATGTGCACGAGTACTCTGCTCCGACAGCTCTCTGTGCCAAGGAATTTCAAAGACTCACAACCCTCTGAGAGAAGAAATCCTCCTCATCTCAGTCTTAAATTGGTGCCCACTTATGCTGAGACAATTCCGGCTGGTCCTAGACTCTCCCATGAGGGGAAGCACCTTCTCAGCATTTACCCTATCAAGTCCCTTAAGAATTCTATACGTTTCAGGAGATCACCTCTCATTCTTCTAAATTCCAACGAGTAGAATCCTAACCTGTTTAGCCTCTGCTCATAAGATAGTCCCTCCACACCAGGAATCATCCCAGTGAATCTTCTCTGAACTCCATCCAATGAAATAATATCTTTCCTTAAATCAGGAGACCAAAAATGCTCAGAATGCTCCATATGTGGTCTCATCAGCACCTTGTACAATTGCAGTAAGACTTCATTACTCTTATACTCCACATATATTCTTTCTGCTGGGGTGAATTAAAAAGGGAAATACTGTCGATTCTAGAAATGTGGAATAAAAACTGAAAAAGCTGAAAATATTCACAGCTCTGGCAACATCTGCAGAAGGTGAAATAGAGGTAACGTTTCAGATCTGCAGCCTTTCAGAATTCTGATCGTCATTAAGCTGAAACATTATTCACCTGACTTGCATATGCTGTTGGCTGCTGAGCATTTCCAGGATTTTCTGATTTCAGGAAAGAAGTGAACTGTTTTGACCAGAAGCGAAATAAATTATCTAATACTGTCAGTGCATAAGATCTTTGTTTAACTGGTAAAGCAGTAAGAACCTGAACATACTTGGAAAAAAGGAATGAATTAAGCGGACAATTTACTTTCAGATAACCAGAATCGAAATGATGGGCCAAATTAAACCAATTCTATGCTATAAAATTCCTAGATTCTGCAATACTTGTCACTGTTTTACTAGCATGTATTCTGCTTGATGTTAAGCAGTTATATGTTGTTCTTTATTCTTGAAGCTGGATTAACTGGGCTAAGGCAAGTGCATGGGACCTTAGGAGACACTGTCACCATACAATGTCGGTATCAAGTGCCATATTACAAGAACCATGAAAAATACCTGTGTAAGGGATCGGACAGGAAATCGTGTATTGTGATAACTGGAACGCGAAAACAGAATCCAAACAGCGGTGGAAGGATAATGGCTATGGATAACCAAACCATTGGGGTGTTTGCAGTGACCATCACCCAATTATCTATGGAGGATAAGGGAATTTACTGGTGTGGAATAACAATCTTTGGATATGACAGAATGGACCCTTTACAACTGATCATTTTTGAACGTAAGACAGATGTTAATTTCTTCTTCTTCTTAAGTAGCTTCTACATATTTAAACAAAATGCTAAATGTTCTGTTAAAAAGAACTGTTGGGACAGATATTATTTGTTTGCAATTCATCTGATCTGTTGGGATTTTGAGGCTAGAAAATGAATCCACAGAGGTCCGTCTCAATTACTAGGAAACGTTACATTCTGTCTCGTGAGTCAGGCACTACGTAGAAGCAGAGAAAGATTTATGGCATAGGAAAAGGCCAATGTTCTTCTCCCCACTCCAACCTTTGTACCCTCCAATGCTTTACATGTCAGCAAAAGCCAGGCAGATTGTCTGGAATGCGTAAAAAAGCTTCTCCAAAAATTGCGTGAGCTAATCTCCACAGAGGCCAGATGTTGGTACAATTTGAGTCCTATAATGCAGTGACTGATGGGTAAAGTGACCCAGTGGTACCAAAAATCAAAATGAGAACAGTAGGCCAAACATATTTATTAATTTATTCATGGTTTGTGAGCATAATTGGCAAGGTCAGCATTTACTACCCACCTGAAATTGCCCTTGTGAAGCTGTTAGTGATCAACCTCCCTGCACTGTGACAATCCAAATGGTGTAGGTGCACACACAATGTCATTAGGGAGGGAATTCCAAAGGTTTGACCCAGCCACAGTCAAGGAATTGTGACATACTTTCAAGTCAGGATGATGCGTGCCAGCAGTTAAGAGTCAACCACTTTGTTGCAGGTCTGGACTCATATGTAGGCCAGACCAAATACAGATGGCAGATTTCCTTCCCTGAAGGAGATTAGTGAACCCAAAAGGGCTACCATTATACTACCATCCCGACTTGGAAATATATCATCATTCCTTCACCGTCACTAGGTCAAATTCTGGAACTCCTTTCCTAATGGCATTGTGGGTCAACCTACAGCATATGGACTGTAGCAGTTCAAGGAAGCAGCTCACCTTCTCAAGAGCAAAAGGGATGGGGCAATAAGTGCTGGCCAGCCAGTGGCACCCACATCCCACAAGTGAAAAAATGACTTTAAAAGAATTCAGATAACAACACCTGCCATTATGGGATTATAAGCTCATATCTCCAGAACATTATTAATCCAGCAATATTAGCACCTCTCCAGTACCACAATAATTGATTATCTTAAAGATAGAAAAAATGTCCCAAAGCTGTACAGAGGAGCATAAACATAGAAATGTGGGTGGAATGCAGGCGCTAGTCTGTAATGTTGACACAACTAAAGCAGAAGCAGACTTTGACATAAAGCCGTATATATTGTTCTATTAGAGTAAGTGGTCAAAGAAGCAGATTTGAAGGAGCATCTTAAAGGAAGAGAGAAAATTGGAGAAGTGGAGGTGTTTATGGGTGGGATTTTAGGAGCATAGGCTCTTGGCAGTTGAGGACACCACCACGAAAGTTGGATTGGGAATAGCTCTCAGAGATTTTAGGAAAGATCGAGGCATAATTATCCTACAGATGTTCTTTTAAGGCCACTATTCAGATAACTTGTTAGGACAGATGTGAACTAGGCTTATCCTGTTTCTTATGTTGATTTGGAAATGCTTGAAACCAAGATATTTGACAAGAGGGAGAAAGGCACAATTTCTGCAATGGTTCGCTGTAGTTAGAAGTGTCGCTGCTGATGTAAACAAACTGGCAGATGAATTTATTTCTCGGATTGGCTTAATTGCAATTTCAGACAATCTCATTTCCTCAATTTATCCTCCTCAAAATTATATTGAAATGGCACAATGGTCACTACTCTGGTTAGTTTGTAATAAATTCACTTAGTGTGAATTTTGCTAACATACATGTGTCATATTTAGTATCTAACATCATTGGGCTCTTACCCCTGTGCCAGAATGCAGTAGAGTGGGACGCAGGGTGACAATATCTGGATAATGATGTTTCTCCTAAATACATTATTGTGTTTTTTTTTCTGACACCCTTAGGTTAATGGCCCTTATTTTTGGACTTTCCCACAAATGGAAACATTTTCTCCACATCTGTCTGATAAAACACTTTTGCAGTTTGAAAGAAAAGTTTGAATTGAGCAAATACTTATATGGAACATAGAATAGTCTGGGGATTTTTTTGATATTGTAAAGTTAATACTTAAATTGAATTAATTCATTTCATTAATTTAAAGTTCAAGCAAAAGTCTTATCTATTCTGTTATTACAATCAGATGTATGATAATGTACAACTTACAAGAGGATGTAGACATTGTCAGATCCTCATGGGATCCATATCATTTCAGTATGAATTCTGCACAGACAGTCATCACAATCAAATCTGCAATGATTTACAGCTAAATTGTTAATTAATTTGGCTCCATTGACATTTGTCACTGTCACTCTTCAACTGGTTGTTATTTGAGCAATCCAATAAAGTGTACATGGTACATGGTTTCTTCAGTTTTCCTGAAGACAACCTGATAAAGTAAAATTTAATTTAAATTAAAATTCAGGCACAACATTGCTGCAAGCTAGATCAAGTAAGATCGACTTTTTCTCTAGCTTCTTGCTGGTGAGCTCCACCAGCAATGCAAAAATGGTTTTCAGAAGCTACTTTCTCCTATATAATATATATGGAATTAACCACCACCTTCTCAAGAGTAATTAAGGATGGGCAACAGCAAAGCCCAACAAAGAATAAATAAAAATGAATAGTTGCTCGACCCAAACTTTTTTGCTTTTAGTTTAAAAAAAAAAGACATGTACAAACTATGGGAGAGATCAACAACTAGAGAAGGCAAACATAGAAGGGTTTAGTCTGAGGAGCATCACTGTGAATCACTATGTCAGTGGGTTGTTTTTTCCCCTCTTTGTTCATTCACAGGACATGGGTGTTGCTGGCTAGATCAGCATTTATTGCCCATCCCTAATTGCCCAAAGGGCAGTTAAGAGTCAACCACATTGCTGTGGGTCTGGAGTCACATGTAGGCCAGACCAGGTGACGATGATGGTTTCCTTCACTAATGGACATTAGTGAACCTGATGTGCTTCCCTCCCGACAATTGATTCATGGTCATCATTAGATTCTTAATTCCAGATATTTATTGAATTCAAATTCCACCATCTGCTGTAGTGGGATTTGAACCCGGTCCCCAGAATGCTATCTGGGTCTCTGGATTAACAGTCCAGCAATAATATCGCTAGGCCATCGCTTCCCCTAGTGCTAGCACATTGACATTCTGGCTGTTATGGTTGATATACCAAAGGGGACAAAAAACTGGTTTTAGTGGTTTGCTATGTGACAGGAAGTAGAAACAGACATATGACCACTAATAACTGTTATATAAAACCTTTTAAACCAGGGCTGTAAAAGCACTTAAAAAGGCAATCTAATTTGATCTTATCAAAGTATAAAAGCAATGGAATACAATAAGCGCTTAGAATGATAATTAACCTAATTTCAATCAATCCACTTGGTCATGTAAACAGTTTAGATGGTACTCACACCTGGATCAGAAAATGAATGGAAACCACAACCACCATATAGCACACGTGAGGAGGTCGATTTAGCTCAGTTGGCCGGATGGTTGGTTTGCAAAGCAGTGCGATGCCCACAGTGTGGGCTCAATCTCCACACTAACTGAGATTACCACAAAGAACTCTCCTTCTGAACCTCTCCCCTTGCCTCAGGTTAAATCACCACTAGTTGTCTCTCCAATGGAAGAGCAGCCCTACAGTCAGGTAAGACTATGGTGACTTGACTTGATACCAAACATGAGCGCCCCACAGGATGTCAACCAACAGGGCATTGATATGCCTTTGTTTGGAGGGAGAACAGTACTGGGGAGAACAAATGTCGGTGCTAGAATTCCTGGAAGCTTGTAACTGATGAAGAAGCCTCTGGGATTTTAAGTCTGTGTCAGTTTTATTATACACCACAATAATGAGATCAGCTTTATCACCTATCAAAAAACAATAGGCATCCAACAAGCTAATTCTCTTCTGTCTGCGACTTGTTGTTAGGTTAAAAAACCTGTAATGGGTAATGGGGATCAAGCTTCTTTGAAATGCAAAGCTCAGAGACACACGGGTTGGACTAAATGTTGTGTATGGGAAATATGTAGCTGAAGATCTAATATTCCAATGTTAATATTTGTTGTTGCTATTTTTACAGCTCCTACAACAACGGTACTGCCTGCTGAATCTCAGAGAGCAATCAGCTTCAAAAATGAAAGGTATATTTATTAATCAATAAATAAACAAATTAAATTAATATCGTTTCAAGATTTACAGAGGAGCCTCGACACTCTATGCTGATGAAAAGTTGCCAGTTCTAACATAAATGCAACAATTGGCTATTCCGTTTTCACACTAGCTGGGTCTGCACAGAAAACATGTCTTGATTTCCTGGCACCCTCAAAACAGAGCCGAAATGTGATTGAGGAATGCCAGAATTGGCAGGGTAAGCAGGCAATAAGCATCGCAAAACTGGTAGAAACAAAAACAGAAACTGCCTGGGATTTGCAATTAAATTACACTGAGCTTGCTCAGTATCCTGCTGTCTTACATTGCACAATCTAGGTTGCTAACATAATGACAGGAGTAGTTATTCAATCTGCCAACCCTGCTCCACCTTTCAATTAGATCATGGCTGATCATCTATGCCAATGCCCCCTTCATGCATTATCTCCCTTTCCATTCATGTCTTAGTTTCCAGAATGTTATTGCTTTTTATCTTGAACATTCTCAATGATTGAGCACTTCAAGGTTGAGAATTCCAATGATTCAATGTCCTCAAAGTGAAGAAATTCTTCCTCATCTCAGTCTTAAATGGCCTGTCTGTTGTCCTGAGATTATGTCCCCTAGTTTTAGACCCACCAACCAGGGAAAAATCTTATCTACATCCATCCTATCTGTCATGGAAGAACTTTGTAAGTAAGTAACAGGTATCGCATCAAACCTAACGTACTCAATTATCGCAGTGGTTTCCCCAATGTCAATTTCCTTTTGATGATTTAATGCTCTGTGGTTTCCGTTAGGTCAAGGTTGAAACTGAAAAATTGAAATCATTTTCAGATCATTGTATAAAAGAGACAGCTTTGTAACCACAGATTTTCCTTTGCACCCTGGTGTCAACGTATTCTGAAAGTATAGAATCGAATTTTACATTGCAGTAAGTTAAGACAAAAAAGCTTAGCCCTGCCGCAATATGGTTAATGCCTGAAACAGATAAGAAGTGAGATAATTGCGTCTCAGAGTAAAACTGTCCCTTATCTTCCTTTTCAAAGTGGCTAAAATTTTGAAGTGTTGTCCTAGTTTGGCGTAACTGATGAAGAAGCTTTTGGGATTTTAAGTCTGTGTCAGTTTTATTATACACCACAGTAACGAGATCAGCTTTTTAAATATTTCTCTGATTGTCCAGGCACTTATCAAATGGAATTTCATAAAGGTGGAGTCCAGATATTTGATCTTCATCTCTGAGTGATGGACTTCAATTTTTTTTTATTCAGAGCTAAAGAATACATTAAAAATTTAGCTGTTGGTTATGCTTCAACCAGAGGGAAATTGGCTCCCTTTTTAACAAACTCAATGGAAGATAATCTTATTGAACAATTATAAATAGCTCAAGGGACAGCTTGGTGGCTCAGTGGTTAGCATTGCTGCCTCACAGCACCAGGGACTCGGGTTCAATTCCAGCCTCAGGCAACTGTCTGTGTGGAGTTTGCACATTCTCCCCGTGCCTACGTGATTTTCCTCCCACAGTCCAAAGATGTGCAGGCTTGGTGGATTAGCCATGCATTGGGAGGCAATGGCCTGTTCAAATTATTGCTGGATTGTTAATCCAGAACCCCAACTAATGTTCTGGGACCCAGGTTTGAATCCTGACACAGCAGATGGTAGAATTTGAATTCAGTTTAAAAACAAATCTGGAATTAAGAGTCTAACGAATCCATTGCCAATTGTAGGAAAGGCTCTTCAGAGAGTTGATGTGGACTTGTTAGGCCAAATGGTCTGTTTCCATACTGTAGGAATTCTATGAATAAAAGTCTTTGCTACAAACAGGGGAGATGATAGCACTGATTTCCCCATTGCCAGTTCTCAACTGAAGAAGACAGATGCATTTTAAAACACAACGTGTGATTTTTTTTTTACCCTGAGTGCTGTAGCCATCAAAAACTGTGGTAGGTTTTCTTTGAAAAAGATAAATGTTTATTACTCAACACCTGAATACATTTTCAAAAATACCCATTCTCTCACTTATACATAAATAGGCATTCATTTCAAGAAAATCCTCCAAACCTGATCAGGTGTTCTCCAGAAATTTGTGGGAAGCTAGGGAAGAGATTGCTGGGCCTCTTGCTGAGATATTTGTGTCATTGATAGCCACAGGTGAGGTGCCAGAAGACTGGAGGTTGGCTAATGTGGTGCCATTATTTAAGAAAGACAGTAAGGAAAAGTCGGAGATCCATAGACCTGAGAGCCTGACGTAATTGGTGGGTAATTTGTTGAAAGAGTTTCTGAAGGATAGAATTTACATGCATTTGGAAAGGCAAGGGCCAATTGGGGATAGTCAGCATGGATTTGTGCATGGAAAATCATGTCTCACTAATTTGATTGACTTTTTTGAAGAGATAACAAAGAAGATTGATGAAGGCAGAGCGGTAGACATTGTCTATATGGATTTCAGCATGTAGGTTCCATTCAACAAGGTTCCGTAGGGTAGACTGGATAGTAAGGTTAGGTCACATGGGATCCAGAGGGAGCTAGCCAACTGGATCAAAATCGGCTTGAAGGTAGAAGACAGAAGTTGGTGACAGAGGGTTTTTGGACTGGAGGCCTGTGACCAGTGGTGTGCCACAGGGATCAGTGCTGGCTCCACTGCTTTTCATCGTTTATATAAATGATTTGGATGTGAATACAGGAGGTACGGTTAATGAGTTTGCAGACGACACCAAAATAGTTGGTGCAGTGGACAGTGAAGAAGATCATCTCAGAGTACAACCAGACCTTGATGAGATGGACCAATAGGCCGAGGAGTAGCAAATGGAGTTTAATTTAGATAAATGTGAGGTGTTTGTACTTTGGTAAGGCAAATCAGGGCAGGACTTATACAGTTAATGGTAGGGCCCTGGAGAGCATTGCCAAACAAAGAGACCTAGGGATGCAGGTTCATAGCTCCTTGAAAGTGGATTCATAGTTAGACAGTGAAGAAGGTGTTTGGCATGCTTGCCTTCACTGGTCAGAACAGTGAGTATAAGAGATCAGATATCATATTGCAACTGTACCGGACATTGGTGAGGCTACTTTTGGAATACTGAAATACAGTTCTGGTCACCCTTCAATAGGAAGAATGTTATTAGACTTGAGAGGGTGCAGAAAAGATTTACAAGGGTGTTGCCAGGATTGGAGGGTTTGAGTTATAGGGAGAGGCTGTATAGGCTGAGGCTTTTTTCCCTAGAGCATCAGAGACTTGAGGGATGACCTTATAGAGGTTTATAAAATCATGTGGGGCGTGGATAGGGTAGATAGCCAAGGTCTTTTTCCTAGGGTGAGGGAGTCCAAAACTGGAGGGCATAGATTTAAAATGAGAGGGGAATGATTTGAAAAGGATCTGAGGGGTAACTTTTTCACACAGAGGTTGGTGTGTGTATGGAACAAGCTGCCAGAGGTAGTGGCGGAGGAGGCTACAACATTTAAAAGGCATCTGGAGGGGTATATGAATAGGAAGGGTTTAGAGGGATATGGACCAAATGCTGGCAAATGGGACTAGATCAGATTGGAATGTCTGGTTGGTGTGGATAAGCTGGACTGAAGGGTCTAATTCCATGCTGTATGACTCTATAAAAGATTGTGACTATGCAGGGTATCATGCACTTAAGTCCTAAAAGTCTGAGTTCTCTGTAACATTTGCTTTTCCCAAGATGAAGACTTCAAACATTGCAGGTATATGGCTTCTTTCTGGTCTGTTGAAGAATGGAGTCAAGAGGTTTTAGGAAGATTAATTCACTGTGGTATATTGCTTGAAGTAGCTGTTTTCTCTTGCTCCATTCCTATTGAGCTACAGCTGCAGCAAATGTCTGTTTCGGTTCTTCAATAAAGGGTGATAAATATTCTCTTTCTCTTGAACGATCTTAGGTGGGATCCTGTTCCTTCACTGGTCTGAGTCTATCTCCTTCATCACTCACGAAAATGTGCCTTCTTAAATGTCCTTACCAAAAGCATGGTTTTTGTCCTGTGGCCTGTTCATTTTCCTCACCTGATCTCTCAACTGTGTTTTCGAACAGTCAATTTCATAGTCATACTCCATAAGTCCAAACGATACTTCAACTGCTGTGAAGTCTTGTACCGTAAGGGAGTCTTAAAAAAGAAGGCTGTGGTACTGCTAAGAAAACGAAAATAAGCTTCTGTTTGAAGAAATGAACTTTCGACCATTTTTTTTCACAGCACCTCAAATTTTTCCATCATAGTGGTACCTGTGCTTGGAATTGTGGTTGTACTGTTCCTTGTTGTCGCTATCTTTGCCACAAGATACAAAAAGAAGACTGCAGTTGGTAAGTTAGAGAATTCAGAACCTTCCAATTTCAAATCAAAATGCAAACCTCTCAGCTTCTACTTGGACAAGGAGCAAGGCTGAACATTTCCTCAGAGCTGGGCCCACTAAACTGGCTGAAACTTTGTCGAAAGGGGGAATCTTCAGGTCAGAGGGTTTCTGAGATAAACAGCCTTAGAATCTGAGAATAATACAGTGCAGAAGGCACTCTCGGCCCATTTAGTCTGCACCAAATTGAAGGAAACTCACAGTCTAATCAATGGTTACAAATTTTACTGAGGTAGCCTTCACCATGCCTTCCAGGTCAAAGCACAACCTCAAGGGAACCTATTTTTTTTCTGTCTACTTTAAGAGTATAAAATAAACAAGTACACCCATTTAGTTTGTCACAGGCTCTTGAACAGCCTGAATGCGAGGGTCAATGACTGTAAGGAACAGAGATTAATCCTAATACCAGATGCAAAGAAAAAGAAAGAGTTAACATTTATATAGCACCATCTAGCTCCGAACATTCCAAAGTGCTTTGCAGCTAAATTGTCATGAATGTAGGAAATGTAACAAGGTCCAAAGAAAAACAGCTTCTCGTGAAGTTGGTTGAGGAAATGTTATTTGGCAGGATACTAGGAAACATTTACTCACTCACCTTGGGAAGAGGTGAGTCTTAAAGGCAGACAGAGGTCTCAATTTTTCATCTCATCCAGAATGCAAATATCAGATGATATTCCCCCACCCCCTGCCTCAGTGGTGTATTGGAGTATCAGACTAGGCCTTTGTGTTTGACTTTATAAAGTGGGACTCGAATCTACAACCTACTGCCACAGAATGTTACCAACTGAGCCACAGCTGACACCTGCAGGAATCTCTAGGGCAGTCACAGTAAAGCTGAACAATGAATAATAATATGCCTTGACCCCATAGATTTAAATAAAGCCTCAGAAAGAGAACAATATACAATGGAGCGCATACAAGAACCAAATGTGCAAACAGCTGGTGTAAATATCATCTTCCAAACAGATGTGGGTGGAAACTTAAATGTGATGATAAGAATGAAATTCAAATACAGCATTTAATCATTACAGACAAATCATTCAATGTTTTATTAACTAAATCAGTGAAATCGGTGTCATGAGTTCAAATCTCATTGCAATCAACAGTTTAATAGATAAGCTATACCAAATGAAGTAGTTTCAGATTGTCGCCGGTTATATAACCTTTTAATTTGGCTTCACTGGCATTAGGAGGAAATGAGTTAACTCAGTTGATATGCCAGTAGCTTACAATGCAGAGTGATACTAACAGCAAGTAATAATATCCATACCAATCAAGGTTAGTATGAAGGAATATCCTTCTCAACCTTTCCCTTTGTCTGAGGTTTGTTGACTCTCAGGGTAAACTACCACTGGTTGTGTTTCTATAATGGGAAAGTAGGACCATGCTGACTTTACCTCCATTAGAATTAACTATAGAGTCTACTTTTATAAAACACAGTGGATCGGCTTACATAGATTGTTTCAAAGACAGAAATGTTCCATGATGTGTTTAAAACAAGAGGATTAATAGGTTTCTCAAAATAACACACAGAAGTGCCGTACACTGGTCTCAGTTTGTGTACACTGTCACTAAATATCGCAGAGAACAATTTCTGAACTTATGTGTCTGATTCCAATTTGACTTTTTATTCCAGGATGTTACATTTTAGTGAATGTGTCTGCTACAAATACAAAACCATCAGGCAGATAATTAAAATATATAAGGATGGATTTTATAATACTTAATTCTTCAATCTGTATCGTTCTTAGGTGAAAAAGAATTAAAACCTACCGAGGAAGATTCTAACCCCATTTATACTGATCTGGTAAGAATTTCATACAGCACTTTATCTGACATTTCACATTTACTTATCCTCATTTCAAATGCCAATTTATTTATGGATAGAAAACTAAATAAGATAATCTGAGATAACAAGTTGTACAGCTGGATGAACACAGCAGGCCAAGCAGCATCAGAGGAGCAGGAAGGCTGAAGTTTCGGGCCTAGACCCTTCTTCAGACCCTTCTCCAGCATCTGCAGTTCCTACTATCTCTAAATAAGATAATCCTCTAGATACAAACCAAATTATTGCTCTTGCTGGAAATACAAAATAAAGAGAGAAAGTCCTTGAAATATTCAGCAGGTCTGGCAGTATCAGTTACAGAGAATCAGATTTTATAGACAGAATTTTATTGTAGTCTAAGTGAGATGGGTGATAGTGAGATTCATGGGAGAATTAGACAACAAGGCCCATTTCATCATCAGGAATATCTTGCCCCATCTTGCATGCTTTTGAAAAGTGACACGACAAGTTTCTCACTAGGCAGTGGTGAGTTGCCAGTTAGGCAGGATTATTGCTTATTGAATACTACGTTAGCGGTCTAATTAATAGCCTCAGAAACATTCAGCTCCTATCTTGTCTAATGCTCCAAACAAGCTAGGCTTTGAGAATTCTCCACATGAAGGTACCTGGTGACTTCAGCTTAACATTCGCTCCATATTGGACACTGGGCACTGCCTCTTCAGCATGTTCCATGGGGACCAGCCTCACATATCCCTTTTTCCACAGACATTGGCATCCGATAAGTGTCAGTCTTCAAAACCCTCTTGGCAAATCTCTGATACACTGACAGGTATTTCTTGCAGTTCAATGCTGTACCTTGGGCTGTACCACCAACCATCATTGCAATGCTACAGCAAGGAAACTGTACTCTCAAGGATATGCAGCCAGCTCATGGACTGCACCAGGCTGCATCTCCAGGCTCTTCACTTGCTCCCATAATGCACACTCACTCTGAGCCAAACTGGATGCTCACACTTTGCATTGCTGTATCTTGTCTTTTTACATGCTACCCCCTCAGCCAGAGATACCAGACTCATCTTACTTCTGTCTTGCCTTACCATTGAGCACAGAAACAAAGGCAAGAAGTTTGTCATGATTGTCAAGTCAAGGGAGATAGCCTTTGGTCAGGGGGTCCTGGCACAGTAAGTCAAGTCCAGCCTCCGATGCCAGTCCAGAGGCTTGGGCGCAGTCAGTCTTCTGCTCAGGCGGTCAGAACCAGGATGTTCTCCACATGGAGGGGTGAGGAGCTAAAAGACGAAAAGCCCACCAGTCATCTTCAGTTTCCCTGCTGGATTGTGAGCTGTTTTCCTCCTGGAATGAGAAAGAGCCGGTTAAAGAAAACAAAAGGGGATAGCACAGTTACTACTTCAGCTGCTGGCGGGTAAGAGACCTCACTGAGTAATTGGGCCGTGCAGAGGGCATGTCGGGTTAATGTTTGGGGGTTGAGATCAGCGAAAGCGCGTGAGGGAAGCTGTTGCAGACAATACCTAACCTTGACCTCCAGTGGCCCCTGATATCCCTGCTGCCTTCCTCTTGTCCCTTCCTCAGTCATGTTTTGTTCTCAGTCACACTGACCTCGCCTTCCTCTGCCAACTTGTCACTCCACTGTCTCCATGACCCGCTGGTGCTTGAGCTGAACTAGGATTTACATTCTAACATAACAGTTTGTAATGCCACAACTCCCAAAACAAGCTAACAGCTGCTGTGGTTAGAAGGTTTATAAAGAACATGGTTGAGCAGCTGAAGTGTCATAATATTCAAGGCTATGGGTCAAGTGCTGAAAAGTGAGACAAGTGTACATATGTCGGCGCAGACTCAATGGGCTGAAGGGCCTCTTCTGTGCTGTATGACTGTATAGCTCAAAGGTTGTAAACCTGAGATCTCCTTAAGAGGTGTGAGGACGAGAAGCATTCAAAGGACAAACGCTGAACTGACTTCAACATCCGATACCCCTGATTTCATCTGTTCAGAAATTGAGTTCATGTCTTGGATGGGTTTCCAAACCTGACTTGACCCAAGCTTTCCACTTCCTTAAATTTCCAGTCGAGATGTGATGGTTGCCTTTGAGCTTATTGTGTGAAGTGCTTCTTGGTTGTAACTGATTCCCTAATCCCAATGTGAGTGACAGCATCAATGGTTAGCACGGAGTAAAGTTAGAAAGCAGGTTTGACTATCACATTCACACACTTATACAGAAATAAGAAGCAGAGGGCTAAATGCTGTGACATTTTGGCTAAGTGCCAATTTTGTCGGGTTTCGTGGAGGATTTCTATCCAGGAGGGCTATGGAGTTTTCTCATGCTATCACTTCAAACTTACCTCTTTACTTACCTGCTCCACATCTATGGTCCCCTCACATTCAATTCTAGCCCAACTCCGCCACTCACTGTAGCAATAATGACTGGCTACTACCTAGACATCCCACGAATGGACTGCCATCCCTGGTGTCAAGTGGTATTTCTGAAAAGATGCTGTGCATCTGGTCAAGTACATCCCAGAGCTGCCCTGCTTTGTCTACCACATTCATCCTGACATAGTAGATATGGAGAATTTGGTTCCCCACTTCACAGGGGCCTAGAGATCCTGGGTGATCGGATACCATGGGAGAAGGGAGCCCTTTTTCCCCAAGACTGGTAGAGGAGGGCACAACTCCAGTGCCTACCAACCTAGTCCCAGTTTACCACCCAGATCCCTGTAGGAACAAGATCAATGACATTCTCCACACTGTTAGGGTAAAGTGCCGCTATCTTCCCTCTGCTACCTCATACTCCCTCTGTCTCTACTACAAGACCCACCTTCCACCAAGGCTCATACATTATCAATCTCACTACTGCATATCGCATCTTCCGTCATTCACTCTTATCCAGCCCAGTATGCCTCTGAACTATCTACTCACGCACTCAGGACACCTTTCCCTCATTGCACCAGTGCTACAGTGGTACCACCCAATTTCATCTCACTCAATCCTTCTCTTTTTCTCATTTCATGAGGGAACAGCTCACAAGAGGTGAGAAAAAGGCAAGATGGTTGGTGGACTGCCTGACATTTGGCTTCTCAACCCCTATGAGGAGAGGATTCTGGTTATGATTGCCCCAAGGGATGAACTGATCATGCCCAAACCTCTGGACTGACATTGGAAGCTGCCCACGACTTACTGCGCCAAGACCCACTGATGAAACGGGGTCATCCTTGACATGACTGAGAACTACTCCCTTCAGATGTTGAGACATGGCCATGTAATTGAAACACCATGGTAACTGTGTTTGCTGTGTAGGCTGCTGGCACATAATGCAGGTATGAGATTGACATAGCATGGTGCCATACAGCAACATGTCCACTCACTTGTCTGACGACTGCTAACAACCATGACAAGCTGCCTGGCTTTGTGTCTGCACTAAAAGCCAAGGCAGGACATGGATGCTGTCAGTATCCAGGTAGGCTCAAACTGCATGAGCACTATGACAGCAAGTGAGAAACCGTGAGATGCAGCCTGCTCAAATCTTTAAGCTCCTTTCTGGTCCCATAGTGCAAAGTATCCTTGTGATAGCATTTCAATAATAGTTACCTTTGCACCGAAAAGTGCAGCATGACTGTGCAGCAGGGTACCTTAAGTTGGCCAGAGAAGGTATGGAGAGGCTGACAGTTGTCAGATGCCAGTGTCTGTGGATGTGGGGTGTGTGTGGTTGATGCACTGAAGAGTGTCCTTAGGCATTGATGCCAGGTGTCCACTGGGCTGTAGGAGCAAGCGACGAGCTTGAGTTGCCAGGCACTCACTCTGACTTCCTTGTCGGGAATTCCTGGTCTCCAGTTTCCAACTGCAGGTGGCAGGATAGGATCCTGCGTAATAAGAGATGGAACTTGCAGTTAATAAGGGTATGAAAGATAAAATAATCTCCATTCACAGGCTCACGCCACCCCTTAATGAGAATTTCATTTCAATGTTTTGAACTCTGCTGGAGAATGTGAGTTAGAATCATACAGTACCAAAGAGGCCCTTTGGCCCATTGAGTCTGCACCAACAAAGCTACACTAAATCTACACTAGTCCCACTTTCCAGTATTAAGCCCATAGCCTTGGTTGCTCTCAACATCATGGAAGGGCTCATTCGATTTCTCGCGAGATTCCCTTAGATATCTCTTTGTAGCCCATGTCATTCAGGGCCCTATAAAATTCCACCCTCAGTTCATGTTTCCTATGTTTCAGTTTGCTAACCTTTCATTGGGGTTTAACAGTTCTTACGATGTAATGGAAAGCTATAATTCCCTCACCTAATTATTCCAAATTCTCAACTAAATTATGGAAGAGGATAAAACACAAAGAAGTGTATAATTTAATAATTCTTTATCATTCACAAGTTTTGCATTTTGTTCTGTTTGAAATCAGGTTTGGCAATGACAATTTTTTCACTTCTTAAAAGTCTTTCAGAGATTATGGTGAAGATATCACCTATGACATGGAAACAAGCAAATCCCTCAACTGGACAGAAGACTTTCCTACTTATATTTGTGATAAGCAAAAGCATGATCAGAAGGAGCCCATCTAATTAGCAAGTACAGCTAATTCAGGAGAATGGGTTCAATGATCTACACTTGGATTTCAATATTGCTTGTCTTATCGATACTTTATGTTCTCATAACTAGCATCACAAAGACGGTCTGAAGATTCCATTTTAATCAATGTTTTCATCCTCATTGACAGTTTCAGTTCTGTTGCCTGGGGGGTCTGCAAGAAATGCGGAGATTGTTGCTGGTGTCATTAACAGACTATTGCCTTGCAGTCCTTTGTCTATTACTGGTAAATCCTTAATCAAATAGACTAAAGTCTATGCTCAAATTTCAGACAGAGAAATACCACATGGACAAATTGTATACTCATCCAGTGATACCTCTGACAGTGATTTCTATGTAAATTGTCTCCCCCTGCCTTTATAAATTCTTTTTATAAAACCATTGTGTTATGCCGTCTTTATCAGATGTATCATGCCATTGATTATGTCTATTATGTCAATTGTACACACATCAGATTAATTGCACATCCACATATATAGTGGTAGGATGAGACAGAAGTTCAACTTGTTAACAAATTAGATATTTTGCCAATAAACTGTCACCTAAACAATGTAAGGTCAGATATTTGGTGACGATCTTTACATGAACGTACATTGAATATACAGAGATGAAATGATACTCAGCAGGCATGTAAACTAATATGTTTTACATAGTCAGTTATTATGGAATGTTACTGTCTTAAAGTAGACAATCATTGGGCTAAAGTCACAAAGTACTTGCATTTAGTATGATCACAGCTGATGTTGTAGCTGAACAAGTCAGATATCAGGTTGAAACCTGGCTTGCCAAATCATATTTGAGAGTTTTTTTTTGGTTTTAACAAGGTGGTCTTTCACTGGAGCATGAACATGCAATTCTGCAGAATTGATTTTAACAATAAAGCAACTTTTTATGGAAAGAATTGAACAATAAATAGAATCAAACATAGTATTTAGATTTAACATGTGTTTAAAGATTTCAAAACACATGGCACAATGCAGTCTCATTAATCCCAAAAGTATTCTTTTACAGTACTCAAACACCAGAGAGAATTCCTCTCTATTATACATACAGTTTAACTTATCTGTGGTCACAAACCCCAGTCTTGAGGATTTGATAACTTCTTCCTTGATTCTTCAAACAAATGAGCTTTGACTTTCTCAGCTTCATGTAAACCCTTCAGGGTTTTACTTGAACACTTCTGGGCTGGAACTGTTAAACTCCTAACACTGAAGTAACCTATTTATTAACAATTCTAAAATATCTTACTTTCTGAAGAGTAACTGTTTCATACATCCAGTTCCAGCCAAGACATCTGAAAACTAACAAATCTGAAGCCCAATGGCTTTTTTCAAGCTATCGGCCTTTCCCCTAATCAAAAGAAAAAGAAAGCTGCCACAACTCATTTGGGCAAGTGTGCTGATACTTGAGCCCGACTATTCCCAGAGTTGTCACAAAAATTAAAGGTTTAACCAAATGGACTCAGATTGACTGAAAACACTGATCAGGCCTCTCTACTTAACAAGAACTAATATTTATTGCTATTCCAAACATAGGCAAATAAAATGATTAATTACCAACATATAAATCTTACTAGCTAAAACTCTAACCCTGTCTTTAATCCTTAAACTCATATCCAGACAGACTCAATAAGCAAACAGGCACAGAAGTTAAAGGTAGAGGAAGGAAAACTGGGAAAAAGCAGATCAATCCCTGGATTCAATGGGATATCCCTTTTGCTTTTTCCAAGTCCTTCAGTTCTCTGATTACTTTACCTCCACATCCTTTCAGTTCTTTGATGATGACACAGGGCATTTGGCACATGAATTGTGCAGTCTTTCGGTCACAGCTTGGAGGCAACAGCTTTCAGTAACTGGTAGGAGAGAATAGCTAGCTCTCTTTCAGGTTTTAGTTACTTCACTTCAAGTTGCTCACCTGCTTTGCAGCCAATCAGAGAATTAATGGCCTGCTGATGATATCAGGCCCCTGCAATGGGTCCCGATTGCAAAAATGAAGCTTGCACCAATCTCCCAAAGCCATGGCATCTTAGGCATCTACCTCCACTGCTTGAACAAAGCAACAGTGCAAACACAACTCAAAATGAGTTCCAGTAACTTGTTTTGAAAAGTGGAGCAGCTCCTTCTGCCAATTTTGTTTTATAGAAGAATTTTCTTTTCTCATTTTGGTCCTTAACCCAAAATAAAGAATAGGAAAAAGGTATGGATTTTACATCAACATCTGACCTTCTAAATTGAAAGCCCAATGTACAACTGTTTCCTTTGTTCTGTCACAGGAACTTCCCCAATGGAAATAAAAGCTCATTGCACACTTGGAACTCTCTCTCTCTCTCTATCTCCTGCTGCTGCTTTCAAAAGAAATCACCATGGCTACAGAAATACTTGCACTTTAATTCTTAAACCTCAGGCACGCAGAAAACACATATTCCACTGGTTCAGAATCCAGACTCAAAGATAAATTATTTAAATATAGATAAATAACACATCTTATAATGCACATGGTGTAATATAAGATGGTCTTGTAAACAGCCACACTGAACAATGCCAAGTACTCTATGCCTGTAGAAGCACCCACCTTAATATTCACAATTGAGCTTTAAAGGAATTTTTTTTAACTTTACAGTTCCTCCACTATAGAAATAGAAAAACACATGGTGAAAACTTTTAGCCTTCTGAACAAACAACTTGTTGGTTCAAATATTTTTTTAATTTCATGTACTCTTGATCAGGTGGCCTTGTGGTGTTGGGCCAGATACTCCTGTTTCAAGTCCAATGTCGGGAATTGTTAACTATAAAAGATGCATTTGTTACATGTCCCTATGGGTTGATAGTCTTCCTGGAAATCTTTCCAATATGTCATTGGCAGAATTGCCTGGTTAACCATCCTGCAGAAGGCAATGCCAAACCACTGAAGTATTTTGCCCATAAACATGGATCAATGCAACAAAAATCCCTGGCCCAAACCTTAGAAAATTGAGGACAGAAAAAAAGACAGATCTTTGATCAAATAATATTTATCACGTGTGGTACGTATCTATTTATTCTGTGACTAGTATCGAGATGACTGTGGTACCCAATGATCAGCTCTGATAAACCTGAAATAGTTAAGACTGATTACGAGCACAGAGAAAAGAAATTGCCATCCTATACCCAACTATGTTCACATTTCCTCTAATAATGAAGTAGGCCATGCCAATCTACAACAAGATCTGAACAACAACCATTTGGTAACGTTTGCACTACATAGCCCTCAGTCAATGAGGTAACCACACATAGCATGTCCTCCATGTTACTAACACTGCTAAATCCCCATCATCATAAATCGGTAGATTAACTGCTCTTACAATCGAAGACCATATGTTCAGCATGAGTGAAAAGTTCCTGAACCTTGACACTTCATTAAGCAGCTATAAATTTCAGCCAACAGGATACTCACAGGAGAATGGGTTCAATGATCTACACTTGGATTTCAATAGCCTGGGCAAACAAAACTGCAACAAATACTAAAGAGGCTCAATGGACTCCAGGACAGAGCAGACTTTTTGGTCAGTGCCTTGGTTACTTCAAAACCTTTTTTCTTTATACAGAAGATTTGGAACTTGATTTATGGGGTGAATTTCAGCATTATATCTTAACAGAAAGCCACTTTGGCTAAGTTTAAACAGTTACAGATTTCAACCACCAAAACAAACAGATCAACTCTTAATTGGATCAAGTACCAAAGACCTGTAGTAAAGTTTGACGGGTCGAGTCACAAGATGTGGTCACTCACAATCTGTGACTGAGACAGTGAGAGTTTTTTTGACCAGTTCAAGGTTAACTTATTCTACCTTTGGCTGATACTCATTTTGGGAAGAGCAGAAAATGGTTTTGAGATCAATATTACGAGAGAGGGAGAGGGACGCAAGAGCAGACAGCCTGCAGGATTTGGAGCGCATATTCATAAATTTCTTCACATGGCAGGGCAAGGTAACAAGGCAGCTATGAGATCCTTGAGTTGGCAAATTGGAGCATTAAATACAAAACACAGAGTTATACTGAACCTTTACTAATCACTGATTTGGTTTCCACTTAAGGGAAGGAAATGGATTAATGGAATCATTGCTAGATTATTAATTCAGAACTTAAGTAATGTTCTAGAGTACCAGGGTTTGAACCTTGGCCATGGTGGCATTTGAATCCAAAATCTGGATTTAAGTGTCCAATGATGATCGTTAGCTGACCAGCTCTGATGAAGAGTTATCCAGACTCGAAACATTAGCTTGGTCTCTCTCTATAGATGCTGCCTGACCCACCATGATTTACAGCATTTTTTGTTTTCAGTACTATTTCCTGAGGTGTTTCAAGTCTGTTAATTTCAACAACATGAGTGAATTGACAGGCTTGGAAGCCTTTCACAGTGAAAGTGAAGAGCTCCAGTTATGGTCAAGCGTGAGGATGCTGTTCATCCCACTGCTTCTCAGAGCCTACTATCACTGAATAAAAGGGGATATCAATGTCTTTGATGTCAGTTCAGCTGTCTGGCATTTCGCTCCCCCCCCACCCCCGCCTTCAATACAGCATGGAACTATGACATGGAGCTCTACCTTCTACCTCTGACAAACAGTACGAAGAACAACAAATTGACACTGATGCAGCAGGAGTAACAGTTGCATCTGCCTTTTTCTCTACCGTAAGATACCTGACAAGGCAAAAGAGATAGACAGAGAGATCCAGTTCCAAGAGGGCAGGAGCCCAAACCAGGGTCTACAGGCAGAGGATCAGTGTTTCAATGTGTCTGAGCACTAATGCCTCAGGAAGTTCAGCTTATCTCAGCAAGTCATTGCTGTCATTCGCAGCCGTCTGCAACAATCCCTTCTTCACAGTGGGCCGGATGGGCTGTTAAAATAGATCTCACTGAAGGAAAAGCACTCCCCAGCCACCACCTCACTCAGTTCTCTAACTGTCCCTGAACTTGTGACTTCCCTTCTCCTGCAAAATTAGAGATAAATGAGGGCTAGGAATACTGTGTGTGAATAGGAGAGACACTGGCAGAGAATCACAGTGAAGCATGAGTGCAAAAGGTTGTAGGATAGTTGAGGTGTTCAGGTGTGGAGATGAGATATCCAGACAAAGAGAAATGTATGAAGCTGTAAACTGTGCTCTCCTGAGGATGACTGCACAGGGAGTCCTGAGAATGTCAGAGCGTGGGACTTGACGATTGAAAGTGTTAGTCAAAGCAAATGACATTTAGGAAGGACAGAAAGCTAGGAATAGTGGAGGAGTAGATCAGTTAATTAAGGGTGATTTTTGTGGAATAAGTACATGGCCTTAAGGTCTGGAGATCAGGATGTAGCATCAGTTTTGACAGAGATGAGAAAAAGTAAACATAAGGAATTTCACATGATAAAGGAGTAGCACTCCAACAGATTGTGATTTTCAATAAACCTGTTGGACTAAAACTTGCTGTTGTGTGATTTCTGAATAAAGATGAGGTTACTTTTGGACAATAGTTTATAGGCCCCCAACTGTAACCATGCTCCAGGATGGAGTATACAGGATAAACATAATAGGTTCTGGTGAAGAAGATATGAAAATAACTGTGATGATCACTTACCATTGATATAAATGACTTGTCTGAAGGGACTGACTGTATGCTTGCTAAGTTTACTAATGACATAAAGATTTGTAGGAAGGTAATTGCTAAGAGGACTTAAGGAGTATGGAGAGGGAGATAGGGATCAGTTCAGTGAGCAGGAAAATGTTTGGCAAATGGACTATTATGTGGAATAATGTGTACACATTCACTTTGCAAGGAACAATAGAAAAGCCACATCATATTCCAATGGAGAGAGCTCGCAAGGCTCTAAGGTACAGAGGGATTGGGGATGTCCTGGGATATGAATCAGAAAAGGTTGAAATATGGATCCAGCAAGTGATTATGAATTGAATGTTTTGATTTTTTCAAAGGGAAGTGGAATATCAAGGCAGGGATGGTTTGCCTTAGTTGTAAAGGATATTGCTGAGAACACATCTGCATTATTGTGTTCAGTTTTTGTCTCTTTATTTAGTAAAGAATACAAATGTGCGACAAGCAGTTCAGAGAAAGCTCACTTGACTGATACCTGACATGGGGAAGTGTGGTTATCTTATGGGGAAATGTAGGACAGTTGGGATTCCAAACAGAAACATACAGCTTACAGTATTGCCCCTCTCCTTCCAAAGGGCTCATGGATCTTTCGGCTCAGACAGTACAATTGAAAGGACCGTTCTCTGGATTTTGTTCAATTTACTAACTGTGAGAGAGATTTCCCATGTTCTATTGTGTATTCAAAGCTCAATAACTCTTGATCTGACCACACGGTAAACAATCACACTATGCTCACACAACTCACATGAATTCAATACTTTGTTGGACGATTTTTTTGGAGAGGAGTAGAATTCATTAAGTCCAGTATGACTATAATTTAAATTTACTTATTATCTTCAAGTATAAATAATTTGGTGCTGTATTAATTATAGTTCCTTGTTTAATCAGAGACGTTCTAATGAGGGAATGGGCTATAATCCATTGGCTGCTCTCTGCTGCTCTGGCTGGTTCTGTGTCAATCACGTGCTACACTCAGTTTCAGGTCCAATCATTTAAACCTTTCTTTCATATGCTTACAAATATTTCACTTCAGTCCAAAAGCTCAAGGACTTTGCAAGTTGCCCAGAAAAGCAGCAACTAACCCACCCCAAAATGAAATGATTTACTCATAAACTGTTATTGAATGAACCACTGGCACCATTCCAGTGTGAGAACATTGGCTTTTGGGTTTCAGTTTATACTTGTCAACAGAATAGTTGGTTGGTCTGAAGATTTTTGGTTTAAATTGGAAATCTACAATTGGATGAATCAAATACACAGTTGACACAAAATATTTATTTTCATTTAATAGTTATTTTATAACCTCATCCACAACTAAATTCACATGGGATTCGGGGCGGGCTGACTAGATAGATAAAAAAACTGGCTTGGTCACAGAAGACAGAGGGTAGCGGTGGAAGGGTGTTTTTCAGAATGGAGACCGGTAACTAGTGTTGTTCCTCAGGGATAAGACTTAGGTCCTCTGTTGTTTGTAGTAAAGCTAAATGATCTGGAGGAAAATGTGAGTGGTCTAATTAGTAAGTTCTCAGATAACCTGAAGATTGGTGGAGTTACTGATAGTGCTGACAATTGTGAAAGGATATAACAGGATATAGATAGATTGGCGACTTGGGTACAGAAATGAGAGATGGAGTTTAATCCAGACAAATGCGAGGTGATGCACTTTGGAGGATCAAATTTAGGTGTGCATTATACTGTTAATTGCAGAACCCTTAGGAACATTAACCTACAGACGGATCTGGGTGTATAGGCCAACATCCCTAAAATTGGCAACACAGGTGGTCAAGGTGATTAAGAAGGCATACGGCTTGCTTCCCATCATTGGCCAGGGCATGGAGTATAAGAGTTGGCAAACCATGTTACAGCTATATAAAACCCCTGTTAGGCCGCATTTGGAGTATTGCGTGCAGTTTTGGTCGCCACATTACCAGAAGGATGTGGAAGCTTTGGAGAGATGCAGAGAAGGTTCACCAGGATGTTGCCTGGTCTCAAGGGCATTGGAAAGGTTAAAAAGACTAGGATTGTTTTCACTGGAAAGATGGCAGCTGAGAGGAGACCTGATAGATGTCTACAAAATTATGAGAGGCATAGATGGGGTGGATAGTCAGAGCCTTTTTCCCAGCGTTGAAGTTTCAATGACAAGGGGGCACAGGTTGAAAGTGAGAGGGCAAAAGTTTAAGGCAGATGTGCGAGGGAGGTTTTTCATGCAGAGAGTGGTAGGAATCTGGAATGCACTGCCAGAGGAGGTGGTGGAAGCAGGCACGTTGGCGACATTTAAGAGGCGTCTGGATGGTTACATGAACAGGGAGGGAATAGAGGGATACAGACCGAATAAGGGCAGAAGGCTTGTTTTTTAGTTTAGTCAGGGCATGATGATCGGCACAGGCTTGGAGGGCCGAAGGGCCTGTTCCCGTGCCGTACTTCTCTTCTGTTTACAAATGTGACATTGAACTGAGGTGTGGGAGGTGGCACCTAAAAGTCTCTGAACTTAGCCAAAATGTGTTGCATTGTACAATCTGGAACATAAGACATGTTGACTTGGATGTACACGCGTGAAATTGAATCTCCCCTGAATCTAGGAACGTTAAACAATTTGAGAGGAGCCAAAATCTCACCATTTAAACCAGGCTAACTCCACCCACCCACACAGCTATGGGTTTTTGACAAGTATCTCTTGAAGTGCCTCACCTTTGAATGAGGCTCAATTCATTCATCTTCATCGGTCCCAATGCTTTAGATTCATTTCTAAATCTGTTCTCCAGCCAAACAAGAGAAGGATCAACTGGAAACATTGGACACAGAATGGAAATGAAACCGAATTCCACATGAAGATGGGTCAGAAGATTCATTAAATCATGCAAGAAAGTCCAAAATATTTCACCTTGTATTTAGAAGTTATTTCGCAATGTTTTACTATTTCACATTTTAATACAATCTGAAAGGCTTTGTGAACTCTCCATTAGAGTTGCTTCTCGATATTTTTACAACTGAGGTTGGAGAGGGCACAGTCTCTCTAGTCCTAATACTGCACAACGCACAGCACAAAATAAAAATACATTTTCCAGTTCCCATGACATCTAATTATCCATATCAGTCAAAGATCAATCAAGTTTCTTAATAAACACAATTGTTGATCTTTTGTGAAATGAAACTTATTCAACAATGATGCAATAATTGGTTAACATTCACAGTCAGTACGACAGAAGTATACATACTTAACTCTCTAAATATCCCCTAACTACAGACACAACATAATCACACGCAAACAGATACACTCACACGCTGCAAAATAGAAAATAAAACAGATTTCTCTGCAAGGGATTGATTCACTGAAAATTAAACACTTTGGCCAAAGAATTATTCGAAGGGAAAAGCTCAGGATGCTTCAGAGTCTGTTGTTCTGATATTCTGGCAAGTGTGATCATGTCATTAATCAGATATGGTTGTCTCAGGATCCTTGCAGCAATGCCATGCTCAAGAAATACAATGTTCGGGTGATTTTTTTAAAATCATTCTTTCAAAAGTACAGTCATGCTACATCATGAACTGATATAGAGATTTGCTGTTAGAAATTAGAGTCATCGAGTCTTACCGCATGGAACCAGACTCTTCGGTCCAACTAGTCCATGTCAACCGTGTTCCAAAACTAAGCTAGACCCACCTGCCTGCATTTGGTCCATATCCCTCCAAACCTTTCCTATTCATTTATTTTTCCAAGCTTCTTTTAAATGTTGTAACTGCAGCTGCATCCAGCACTTCCTCTGGCAGTTAATTCCACACACTAACCACTGTCTGTGTAAAACATTTGCCCCTCATGTCCTTTTTAAATCTTCCTCCTCTCACCTGAAAAATACGCCACCGAGTTTTGACCTCACCACCTCACCACCAATGGATGCTTGCTATTCACCTTATCAATGCCCCTCATGATTTCATAAATCTTTTTCAGGTCACCCCTCAACCTTCTACGCTCCAGTGAAAAAAGTCCCAGCCTATCCAGCCTATTTTTATAACTCAAACCCTCCATTCCCGGCAACATCACGTTAAATCTCTTCCGAACCACCTCCAGGTTAATAATATCCTTCCTATAACAGGCTGACCAGAACGGCATGCAATATTCTCCAGAAGAGGCCTCACCAATATCCTGTACCACCGCAACATTATGTCCTAAATTCTATACTCAAAGGTCTGAGCAATGAAGGTGGTGATATCAGCAGGGCAGTTTTATCTTTGTAAGTTTTCCTCCAAACTAGCTTGTTCCCATCAAGCTTCCCATCATGTCATTTTGTTTTTTGCAGGCTTCCCTCCAATTAAGCCAGATAAAGTGAGCACCTCTTCAAGTCAGTCACTGATCAAAGCAGCCCAGCAAGGTATACAGCAATGCACACCATTATCACCAGTCTTGTTATTACTTGGGAGCCTTATTGGGAGAAATCTCCAATGTCAAATGTGCTATCCATGTCCTATTTTCCAGAAACCACTTTCAGGTGAGACCACAAAACTTAAAATGTTTCGTTTTCACAATACTCGAAAATTTCGAACATCTGAATAACCTTAAATATAAAGCATCTTCATGACAATAAGGTGATATTTTATTCTTTATTAAAATTTGAAAATATTTGTAGTGTTTCCAAAAATTGTATGAATTATTTCTGTAACAAAAGGTAATTAGCTTTTACTTGTATATTCAGGAGTAAGTTGTATGCTTTGCAATTGTCACAAATTACACAATTCAAGAAAATAACTCAATCCTAGTTTGCATTAACCAGCAATAACTACTATAAAAATATGTGTCATTACGCTTTTGAAATATAATATAGTAATTGGTTTAACTCCCATAGATATGTGGAGGCGGGTTTGGGTGCATGTGGAAAGTTCCATCATGGAAATTCCAAATCACAGCCACATTCTGCCTACCACCAACTGTCACCTGGACTGATTGCCTGTGAACTGGGAACTGTCACACAGTTGTCCGATAAGTCATTTAAATTTTCAACTTGACAATTAAATTTTGTTCCAATCAATGATTCAGCTTTTAAGCACCAGCCGACCTATTTCCTAGATTGTGTGGAGACTGCGGCCCTCACCCAGGTATGTGCACAAAGCATCTTCAGTGAACTTAACAGGCTGGGAAACCTTCGACGATGGAGCAGAAGTCATGGCCAGGTAAGAAACTACTGTTCATAGCACTACATATCACAGAGGGTCTCAGTGCATAACAGATGATTACCAACACCTTTTAAAGAACCTACTCCCTGTATGATCATAGGGCCTAAAACTAGCCCATTTGGTTTTCAGCATGGAGAACTTTATGAATGCTTGTATCTTTGCTGTTTTTCGCAGTGCTTCGCCTTGTCCTGCTGCATACCCGAGGTAGGTTACTCAAACCTTTGCATATTCACATTATGGCGGTAACCACCAAATCAACAGAATGTAGTCTCCTAAACAACATTTCCAGTTTTTACAAGTAGTCCTCCCAAGTATCATGGTACACTACCTGGCTACTGCCTGGTTCATCATTCTCTAGAAAGTTGCTGAAGAATTTTTTAGACAGAACAACGTCAATCAGCATTGGAAAAGACCATCTAGTGTGACAAAAGCTAATATTGTTTAATACTAGCTGTTAAACATATTTACTGGTATCACTTTAACAAATCTGTTTTTGTCAGAAATTTGGCATGGTCAACACTATCAATACTATCTGCCAAGTGAGGAATTGGGTGGAACTGTTTTTTCAGAATCCCTACAGTGTGGAAACTGTACCAACAACCTCACACCAACCCTGGAGCATCCCAACCAGACCCATCTCCCTATAACCCACCAAAGCTACACATCCGTGAACATCATGGGCAATTTAGCATGGCCAATCCACCTAGCCTGCACATATTTGGACTGTGGGAGGAAACCAGAGCACCCGAAGGAAACCCACACAGACACAGGGAGAACTTGCCAGCTCCACATAGACAGTCACCTGAGGGTAGAATCGAACCCGGGTCCCTGGCGCTGTGAGCCACCATGCCACCCCAACTGTGCCTTCGTTACTGCATTGACCTTTCTATATTTGATGTAAATCTGTTGAACAATCAGCATTAGGTACGAACAGTACAGTGGAACTCCAGATGCTTTGACTGGATTCAGTTGGATTCTGTGATTATAGAAACATACCAAGCATCATGAAAAGAACTGTTTGAACAGGCAGTAATTGATGTTCAGGTTGCAGATGACTGAGAGCTCAGGGTGTGTACTGATGCAGCTTTTGTTGGCAACAAGAAGTTGATTGGTCTATTGTGACGATGCTGTCACTTTGAAAAGGTTATTTTGTCCTGGGTGTTTTTGAAGAGAAGTTGTAAAGGCAGAGGTGTCAAAGCGGTTAGGAAGTTGTACAATGGAGGGGAATAGCCAGTTCTCCCAGTTCAAGCTTCCTAGTTTTTTATTGGCTATAGCAGTCACAAGATGTCTAAGTACCACAGGGTTGCAAGCTTCAGTAAAGGATTCCTAACTGACTTTCTCTGAAATCTCTCTGGATGTTGTTCCTTCCTGCCTGTAAGAATCTGTGTTTGAATTTACTACTTTGCCAAGGGGTGTGTTAATAGGAAGTTACTATTTTGGAAAAGTTAATTAGTTAAGTATTTGGTTAAGTTTTGCAATAGTTACGCTATTCTAAATTCTGTTTTATTTTGCTCATATTTCAACTGTAGTGTTTAAATAAATTCTGTTTTGCTTAAAGCTGAGTATTTTGACCAGTTGCGTCACACCTGGAGCAGCTACTTCACAATAAAAAAACGTTAGTGTCTGAACTATCTTCTTAGAGTCATAGAGTCACAGAGATATACAGCACGGAAACTGACCCTTCAGTCCAACTCGCCCACGCTGACCAGATACCTTACATAAATCTAGTCCCACTTGCTAGCATTTGGCCCATATCCCTCTAAACCCTTCCTATTTATGTACCCATCCAGATGCCTTTTAAATGTTGTAATTGTGCCAGCCACTCCAATTCCTCTGGCAGCTCATTCCATACACACACCACCCTCTGCATGAAAAACTCGACCCTTAGATCCGTTTTATATATTTCCTCTCTCAGCATAAACCTATGCCCTATAGCTTTGGACTCCCCCACCCTGGGGAAAAGCCCTTGTCTATTTACCTTAACCATGCCCCTTATGAATTTATAAACCTCTATAAGGTCACCCTTCAGCCTCTGATGCTCCAGGGAAAATAGCCCCAGCCTATTCAGCCTCTACCTATAGCTCAAATCCTCCAACCCTGGCAACATCCTCGTAAATCTTTTCTGAACCCTTTCTAGTTTCACAACATCCTTCTGAGAGCAAGGGGACCAGAATTGCATGCAATACTCCAAAAATAGCTGAATCATGTCCTTGCAACTCCTATATTCAATGTGCTGACCAGTAAAGACAAGGGTACCAAAAATATTTTGAGGATGTCTGACCTGGCCCATAACATTATGGACTAGTGACCAGTTGCCAGTAACGCAGATTGTTTTGACCTGCCAAGAATTGTCAGATTGTTTTTCAGGTAACTCAATAGCTTGAGTCTGTGAACAAGTTACAGAGAGAAACAGAAGTGGTCAATTCTTCCCCAGCTTGAGAGGGGTCTCTCTGTTCTCTGCAGTCAAATCTCACTGTATACCAGAAGAAAATCAACTTTTTTTTTTGGCAGCCATTGGCGCAAGCTGTCACTTTTATCTGGTAGAGATATTTCAAGAATGAACAGACCACCTTGTGTCTCTTATCAACCAGTGGAGGCAACAGGAGAACTGAAGCAATATGCTGGCCAGCAGAAGAGTCATAAACATCATCTTGATGACAAAACCCAGGATAAAAACTATGGAACTATCCTTCTAGTTTATCGCCTCAGCCCCCACTACCATATCCGTTTATTTGAAAATAAGCTTGCTTTCAGGTCAATTAAAAGGCTTTCAGCTCTTGTTTAATAGTTATAAACAATTCTGCAAAGACTTTAGGAAGAAGGATACATTGCCAACCCCAGGCGTGTGGTTCGCTCAATCTTGGCTGACATAAGTCGTCCTCGTAATCAGAAAATGGAAAAGAATCATCATCACAGATCATAAGGAATTACATCCTGGGAGTTAGGGTAGTGATGTACAATGATTTGGGTGAATTTTGATTGGACGGTTATATTCCTTTTTTTGAAAAAATATTTCCCTGGTTCAAAGAACAAAAAGAAGAAACAAAAATCAAAGAACAGTACAGAATAGGAACAGGCCTTACTGCACCGACATATGATGCCTTTCTAAACTCCAAACCTTTCGCCTCTTTGTGTATCTGTCAAGTTTCCTCTTAAACATTGCTGTTCTATCAGTTTCTACCGCTCCTCTGGCAGTGCATTCCATGCATTTGTGTAAAATATTTGCCTCTCATATCTCCTTTAACCTTTCCCCCTTTTATCTTAAACCTAAGTCCCATTGTACTTGACATTTCGACCCTGGGATTTTGTAAACTTCTATCAATTTGCCATTCAGCCTCCAATGTTCAAGTGAAAACAAACCACGTTTATTCAATCTCTCCTCATAGCTAATACCCATAAAACAAGGCAACATTGTGGTAACCTTTTGTCTGTACCTTCTCCAAAGACTCCACGTCATTCTAACCACATAGTGTCCAGAACTGTACACAATATTCCAAATGTGCTTTCACTAAAGTTTTATACAGCTGCAACATGACTTCCCAATTTTTAGACTTTATGCTCCAACCAATAAAGACAAGCATGTCATATGCATTCTTGACCACCTGATCCACTTGCATTGCCATTTTTAGGGAACTCTGGACCTGTATGCCGAAATATCCCTGTATGTTAATGCTTCTAAGGGTTCTGCCATTTACCATATTCTTTCCCATTGCATTAAACCTTCCAAAATGCGTCACAGCATGTTTGTCCAGATTGACATCCATCAGCTATTTCTCCAACCAAGTCTCCAGCCTATGCACGTCCTCTGGCAATCTTCCTCACTATCTGCCACTTTGTAATCTTTGTGTCATCTGCAAACAACTTCATCAGACCCTCTGCATTCTCCACCAATCACTTATATACAGACCACAAGCAAAATCGAACCCTGCAGTACACCACTGGTCACAGATCTCCAGTCAGAAAAACACTCTTCCACCTCTGTCTTCCATGACTGAACCAATTCTGTGCTCATTTTAACAGCTCACTGTGGATCCCATATGACTTCACCTTCTGTATCGGCCTGCCATGACAGATCTTGTCAAAGGCCTTGCTAAAGACCCTGTTGACAACATCCACTGTCCTACCCTCATCAAACCTCTTTGCCACTCGCTCAAACAGCTCATGTTTGTCAGACACAAGCAACCTCCACATAAAGCCATGCTTCCAATCATTGAAAAATCCATATTTTTCCCAATGTTTGGAACTCTTGGCCCAAAGAATCTGCCCCAATAATTCCCTTGCCACTGATAAAAAGCTCACCAGCCTGTAATTTCCTGTATTATCCCTGTTTCTCCTCTGAAACAAAGGAACAACATTGGCTATTCTCCTCTTAGACCTCTCCTGTGATGAAACATGATCCAAAATGTTGTACAACGCTCCAGCAATTTCCTCACTCGTCTCCCTCGGTGTTCTGGGACAGATCCCATCAGGTCCTGCAAAATTATCTACCTGAATGCTTTTCAAAACACACAATGCTTTCCGACGACTGAATTCTCCTCACTGAATCTAACTGCCGCTCCAACTAACCGAGGTGGTATGACAGGAGCTGCAATTGAACACTCTTCCTGCAGATGGAGAGAGTAAGAATTGCAGATGCTGAAGTCAGAGATCACATAGCGTGGAGCTGGACGACACAGCAGGCCAGGCAGCATCAGATTTCTGACGTACAGTCCCGACCCGAAGTGTCAACTTTCCTGCGCCTCTGATGCAGCCTGGCCTGCTGTGTTCACCCAGCTCCATACTGTGTTATCATTAATTCAATTTGCTGTCTAATAATGTGTGAGAAAGCATCTACAAACATAATAAGGAACGCTATAGTTGACCAAAGAATCCTTCCAGATGGTCAAAGAGGAACTGGTGAACCTCAATTTGAAGCAGGAAGTGACAGTTAGAAATGGGTGTCAACTGATTCAAACACAGCCCTCCCGACAGACAATATCGGAACAGCGAAAATTTACCCAACAGAAACATCCGAAGCAATGGAAGCAATTGTGTTTTTCATTCTTATCTCTGTATCAAGTAAGTTTCCTTTAAGACTAGAATCTTTAATATGAATAAAATGTACTTTGGTAATCAGAGCTGAGAAAGGCCAGAAATGTTTACTCACACAGTCATCAATCAGATTGTTGAGATGAGTTAATGCAAAGTCACTGACAAGTTCTCTAGAAAGTTGTTACTGTGGTTGTGATCAGTCTGCTTCTCCAGCATCGCCAGCCTGGTTTTGCCTGGTTTGCTTCTTTCTGTGGGACCCCATTGCACCCGAATGTTTCTGTCCTGTCTGAAAGGAGAGTTCCTTGTCAGTGCAAACACAGTAAAACATACTGCAAGCTTTTTTAGAGACAAAAAAGTTCCAGATGCTGGAATCCAAGGTAGACAAAGAGGAAGCTGGGAGAACACAACAGGCCAGGTAACATCTGGAGGAAAGGAGCAATAAATGTTTCAGATATTACCCTTCAGGGGGATCCAATTGTGTTTGTCACTTATATAAACAATTTGGAAGGAGGGTTAATCCCAAAAGGTTGACTGCCCCTTTCACCCAGATGCTGCCTGTCCTGCCGTGTTCTTCCAGCCTCCTCTTTGTCTACCTTAAACTGCAAGCTTTTCTTTAAAGTAGCACCTAAAACCACCCAAAGTGCTTCAGGGAAGGGAGGGGTATAGTGCAATGGTGTTGTTCATCAATGTGTCATCCAAAGGCTCAGGCTCAAATCACACAATGGTGGATGGAGACATTTGAACTTTACAAATCTGAGCTATGGATATAAGCTGGATATGCTGGGACTCTTTTCCACTGGAACGTAGGAGGTTGAGGGGTGACCTTATCAAGGTTTATAAAATCATGAAAGGCATAGATAAGATGAATAACAATGGTCATTTCCCTCAGGTGGTGGCATTCAAAACGAGGGGGGCCATATTTTTAAGTGAGAGGTGAAAGATTTAAAAAGGACATGAGGAGTAAATTTTTTTGCACAGAGAGTGGTCCGTGTGTGGAATGATTCGCCAGAGAAAAAGTGGCGTATGCAGGATCAGTTATGACACTTAAAAGACATTTGGATGAGCACATGAATAGGAAAGGTTTGGAGGAATATGAGCTAAATACAGGCTACTGGCATTAATTTAGTTTGGGTACATGGTCGGCGTGGAAGAGTTGGAATGAAGGGTTTGTCGCTTGCTGCATGATGCTATGACTCGATGAAACTATAAAGCAACTTCAATCAAAGTCACTGATTATCTCCATGTAAACAAACTACTTAATGTTAGTAAGGATAGGATGCCAGTGTATGGCCCATCAATCCACAGTCTCACTTGCTGAGGAAATGTGACAACAGCCTCCAACAAGGTCAACTGCCTGTCTTCTTTCACAAGGAATAATTGATTGGAGGAACAATTAAACAAGTCAATATTTTTGTGAAAGCCATTGACAAGGCAGGAGCTGTATTTTCCATTGGCAACTTGAGCAAGTGCTCGGTGGATTCAGCAAACAGGCATGTGTGGCCAGAAGCTTCCATTTGCCAGGCCTACCCCAACACCCACAATTTTCTGTGCACTTAGAAATGGGCAGACTGAGAAACAAGTGAGAAGGATTGAAGGAATTCACCTCGAGTGAGCTTCGTTCTTCTTCTCAATACCAAGGATCAGTGTAAATGGAGAAGATACATCAATCATATCATCAACAATCTTCCCATAAAGCACTGACATGGAGAATCTGGCCCAAAAGGTAATCACTCGCTCACTTTTCAACACTGTTGGAGTAAAACCTGGATTTCCACAATAATGTGGGTGACAGCTTCGGTGAATGTCACTCAGTATGAGGAAATCTCAGTATTGAAAAGCTGACATTTCTTCAGAAGTAAAGAAGAAGGGACCCGACCCAAAACTTCAGCTTTCCCGGTCCTCTGACGCTGCCTGGCCTGCTGTGTTCATCCAGCTCCGCACTGTGTTATCTCTGACTCTAGCATCGGCAGTTCTTACTATCTCTGTGTTGAAAATCTAGTTTGACATCTAAATATAAGGGAGGTTGCTACAACAATGAAACAGGAGTTCTTATTTGATTAAATATTCTGTTTCCTGACTCTCACACAGATATTAATAATCGTTCATTGTTATATCACAATAGATTCACGTCAATTAACTGGGCCCGGGGACGTTCGTGGAGAAGTAGGAGGATCAGTCACTGCCGAGTGCGAATATGATCAGAGCTACGAGGAAAATGAGAAATACTGGTGTAAAGGTTATCATTACATCACTTGTTCTGTTATTGTTTCGACTGATAACCCACAAAGTGGAAGAGTATCAATGACTGATGACAAAAAACACAGCATATTGTCAGTAACCATGGACAAACTGATGAAGAGTGATGAAGGACGATACTGGTGTGTTATAGAAAACACTTTCCAAAATGAGAAGGTTTCATTCAAATTAGAAGTTTTTGAAGGTAAGATGATTGTGTATTTCTACTTTGTCTGCTTTGCCCGAAATGAAACATTTGAAATCAGAGATACCCTCAGTTCTGCTCTGATAGTGACCCTGTGACAAATCCTGAGCTCCCCACAGGGGTGGACACTCATATACTCAAGTGCCCAAATCCTGGGAATACTGAATTCCCAGAGCAAGATCCTTCCACTCCATTAGGAAAGAAAGAGGGGAAACAGATTGGGAAAACCTTTCCCAAATGGAAAGCTTAAGCAGGCAGCTGCTCTGTTCATGGCCAAAATGTTTTCACTTCACGTTTTGACCAGCTGCCAGGACTGAACCAGGACCGTACCCCAAGGCAATCAGCTGGAGACCTCACCAAGGGAATGGGCACTAGGAGACAGTCAGACTATGTGCTACACAGCCCCTAACCCCCTGTAGCTCACCAGCCTTTCCTCCCGTTTCCCCATGGTCCCAATGTGGAGACCGGCTCAGACATTACCCTCGTAACAGTTCAGCACACGGCAGAACCTTGGGTGGCATTTTGCCAGAGAAGGCCGTTTACTTGCCGGTCATTGTCTAATTGAGAAGGATAGTACCATGGATAGAGATGGCCATTGGTGAGGCTACAAGGAGGGTCGGAATATACAATCCAAGCCTGAAACATCCTCAATAGCAAGGTCAACCATTGCTGCTGAGATGTGGTGGGGGCTGCGGGAGCCCCATGTGTCTCGGACTGACTGTGTAATGGAGTGTCCACTGAAGGCTCAGGTGTTAATCTTGATGGGTTCCCAACTCAACAGTTCACCCTCCTGATGTCATTTGATTTCATATGGATTGTGATCTCCCAAATCTGGGCAAGTTATTGGTTTAATTAGCTATTGGCTGCTCAGGATCCTGCTGCTAGTATTATCCCACGGCAATGGGAAATTATTGGTCTTCCGTACCATCACCTTGCCTGTGATTTTCCAAACTCTCCACCTCCCAGCCCAACTCCAGAAGACTGGTAACATCAAACCCATTGTTACTGTGCAGCTTCCTGTAGTATTACTCTCTGATTCATTTATATTTTTCATATCATTGATTTTAAGTTTGAGTTTTGCTTTTACTTTGACTTTTGGACAGTCCTGTGAAGTTATTCCAGGAAGCTGGTTGTGCAGACCAATGCTCCTGAGAAGGGAAGGATGTAGTGAATCTAGATTATCTTAGAGTAAAGAGTTGATGTTTGTCCCAGACCAGTAGCATTGGACTAAAACCCTCAAGAGGTTATGTAAAGCTGAGTACTTTTGAACTCCCGTATCTAATAGCTCCAGGAAGAATCTATCTGCATAGAGATAGTGACTCTAGCAGGAGTACGGTGTATGTGGTGTTTTGATGACTGCACAAGATGTGCTTTTATACTGGAAGAATGCTGTTACTTTCCTGTTCAATTTGAAACGAATAAGGTTATACTGTTACTGTGTGCTGTAATACGTTTCAATTTGTTTTGTAAGCTGATAGTTTGGTCTATTCTACTTTATCTTCATTTAGTTTGTTAATAAAATTCTACTTTATAGTTTCAACCAATTCTGCACCATTATGTGCAGATGTGCTTTGAGTACTGTACAAAAGCTGTCGTTTCTACTATCAATTTAAACAGGAAATTCTTGGAATTCATGGTGTTAAACTTTTGCTGCATGCTTTAACATCTTTGTATTATAAGCCGATAGTTTTGTTTATTCTACTTTATCTTCATTTAGTTTGTTAATAACATTCTACTTTATAGTTAAAACAAGATCTGCTGCATTATGTGTATCTGTTTCAGTTAGTGAATACGTCGTTACACTCAAACAGAACAAAATCCATGAAGCCAGATTTCTGTCTGGGATCTGACCTGTCCTTTAAAAACATGAAGTGGATTCAGAACACTGCCCCATTGCCAGTCAATCACTTTGTGAGCAAATTGTCAACTCACTCACACAGGAATGGCTAAAACCAGAGACATTGATGCATCTAGTGCTGTAATCTCTCAGCTCACACTCAGTTTGTGTGTATTTTGTTGCAGTTGCTTCTGATTTTATCCAATTGTATAATAGTCTAACACTGGTAATGCAATCATTTCCTTTAACCCCAGAATGATCTAGTCATTTGCAACAAAAGCAATATAATGTGGAAAGATAGTGTTGAAGAAATGATTAACTATGACTTTTAAGTGGTTCCATTGAGGGGAGTGAACTCACTGGGGAACATAACTTCAACCATATTCAACAAGTCGCTCCTTTATAGGGCCTACATGGAGCTCGACACTGGGACCAACCAGCAGCGTAGCAGGAACTACTCAGTCTCATGGTACAACGGATCTAACCACATCCTCCGCCACCTTCAGCTCACCCAGGTTCGTCTCTGAAACATTGAAATCTATGCAGTACATCTTTACCATGATATGAACGTATCATCTTTAAAATGCTCAGGGAAAGGCTAATACAATCTGCAGTAAAACTCAGGTCATCAAGCACGCAGTAGAATAAAGTGGGGGTGCAAAATCAAAAACACAGAAAAGCCAGTGGTTAGTGATTGAGCTGGAAGACAGATGGGTTGACATAGGTATCCTTATTATCCTACTGTCATAAGAAGATTGAAAGCTGCCTGCTGGGCCACTTGATGAGTTATCACTTTTTTTTGATTCAACCCAGGAATTTGTGGAAAATTAGGGAAAAAATTGCAGGGCACCTTGCAGTCATATTTGCATCATCTATAACTATGAGTGAGATGCCTGAGGACTGGAGAATAGCTAATCTTGTGCCTTTGTTTAAGAAGGGATGTAAGGAGCAATCTGGGAACCACAGACCTATGAGCCTGACTTTGGTGGCGGCTAAGTTGTTGGAAGCGATTCTGAAAGATAGCATTTGTATGCATTTGGGGAGTCAAGGAATGATTAGGGATAATCAACACGGTTTTGTGCAAGGAAAATGGTTTCTCAAAAACTTGATTGAGATTTTTGAGTAAATACCAAAGAAGACTGAAGGGTAGAGCAGTAGACATTGTTTACTTGGACTTTAATAAAGCCTTTAACAAGGTTCCACATGGTAGACTAATGAGTAAAATTAGATCATATGGGATTCAGGGTAAACTTGCCAATTGGATACAAAATTGGTTTAACAGCAGGAGACAGAGTGATGGTGGAGGGTTGTTTTTCGGACTGGAGGACTGTGACCAGCGGTGTTCCAAAAGGATCAGTGCTGGGACCCCTTTTATTTGTCATTTATATAAATGATTTAGATGAGAATATTGGAAGCATGGTTAGTAAGTTTGTGGTTGACACCAAGGTTAGTGGCATGGTGGACAGTGAAGAAGGTAATCAAAGATTACTAAGAGATCTTGATCAATTCGATCAATGGGCTGAAGAGTGACAAATGGATTTTAATTCAGATAAATGCAAGATATTGCATTTGGTAAAACAAATAAGGGCGGTGCTTATACAATTAAAAGTAAGGCCTTGGGTAGTGTTGTAGAACAGAGAGACCAAGGGATTCAGGCGCATAATTCTTTGAAGTTTGCATCACATATAGAAAGGGTAGTTAAGAAGTATTTAGTATGCTTGCCTTCTTTTCTCAGATCTTTGAATATAAGACTTAGAATGTAATGTTGATGCTTCACAGGACGTTGGTGAGGCATTTTCTGGTGTGTTATATCCAGTTCTGGCCTCTCTGTTATAGGAAGGACATTATTAAGCTGGAGAGGGTTCAGAAGAGATTTACCAGATTATTACTGGGAATGGAAGATTTGAGTTGTAAGGAGAGGCTGGATAGACTGGGACGTTTTCACTGAAGCATAGGAGGTTGAGGGGTGACCTTATAGATGTTTATAAAATCATAAGGGGTATAGAGAAAGTGAATAGCAGGTGTCTTTTCCCTAAGGCGGGGTATTTCAAGACCAGGGGGCATATTTTTAAGGCGAGAAGAAAGATTTAAAAAAGACACGAGGGGCAACTTTTTTACGCAGAGTGTGGTTTGTGTGTGGAGTAAGCTTCCAGGGGAAGTGATGGATGCAGGTACAGTTACAAAGTTTAAAAGACCTCTTGATAAGTGCATGAATAAGAAATGTTTTGAGGGATATGGGCCAGGAGTAGGCAGGTGGGGCTAGTTCAGTTTGGATTATGGTCGGCATGGATTGGTTGGACTGAAGTGACTGTTTCCACGCTGTATGACTCTATGGCTAGACAATATGTTGTTACCAATTTACATTTAGCTAATGGAGTCATAGAGAAACAGACCCTTCAGTCCAACCTGTCCATGCCGACCCTAATCCCAAACGAAACTAGTCCCACCTGCCTGTTCTTGGCATATATCCCTGCAAACCTTTCCTATTCATTTACTTATCCAAATGTCTTCCCTGGCTGAGCTTTAAGGGACTGGTTTTAACTCCAGCTCAGTTCAGCTGCTCAGGGCCATATAGTAAAGCCCTATGTGTTCTTTAATGATCAACAGATCACCCATATAGTGGGTCACTGCACTGTCTCTTAAACTTCATGTAAATTTCCCATTGAATATTTGAAATAGTAATTGTATCAAGGTATATATCGAGTTGCAGTAACTTTATCGTCCTAAATTTAGAAACAATTATTCCCAGACTTGGTGGATTGAAAGGGCGTTTTTAATATCAGAGACACAAGTCTCTGATCGCAGTCAAATGGTCTGCCTGTTCAACACCAGGCCTCTGAAAGGCAAAGCCTTTAATCCAAATTTAATGCCTGTAAATTTCTAAAGCCACACGGATAGCAATATTGAACGCATATGTTGAAATTGAAAGAGGTAGTAAGAACTGCAGATGCTGGAGTCAGAGATAACACAGCAGGCCAGGCAGCATCTGGAGGAAAGGAGCAGTCAACATTTCAGGTATTACCCTTCTTCCGGATTGGATATGGGGGTAGGGGGAGCTGCAGATAAAGAGAGGTGGGGAAAGGGTGGAGGTGGAATGGTGGTGATAAGTGGACACTGGTGGGAGGTACGGCATGGTTGGTCGATGGGGGGGTGAATCCAGTTGGTGGCTGGAAGGGAGGGTCAGAAGATGGAATGGATGGGAGGAGGTGAGGCTGGAAGGGGAGGCAGAGGATGGGTGGAAAGGTTATTTGAAATTGAAGAACTCAATGTTGAGTCCTCCAGGCTGTAGGGTGCCCAGGCAGAAGATAAGGTGTTGTTCTTCAAATTTGCGTTCCAACTCACTGCGACACTGGAGGAGGCCGAGGATGGATGTGTCGGAGGGGGAATGGGGAGGGGAGTTGAAATGGACAGTGACCGGGAGGTTAAGTTGGCCGTTACAAGCCAGGCAGAGATGCTCGGTGAAACGATCACCTCGTCCATGTTTGGTCTCACAGACGTAGAGAAGACCACATCGGGAGCACCGGATGTAATAGACTAGGTTGGAGGAGATGCAGATGAAGCTCTGTCTCACCTGGAAGGACTGTTTACAGCCTTGAATGGAGGTGGTCTGTGGGCAGGTGTTGCATCTTTTACGGTTACAGGGGAAGGTACCGGGTTGGAGTGGTTAGTGGGGAATGTGGCGAGAACTAAGGAGTGGTGAAGGGAATGGTCCTTGTAGAAGGCAGAGAGGGGTGGGGAGTGGAAGATGTTCCAGGTGGTGGGGTCTAATTAGAGTTGGCAGAAGTGTTTGAGGATGATATGTTGGATGCAGAGGCTGGTGGGGAGGAAAGTGAAGACAAGGGGTCCCTATCTTTAATAAGTCTATTAACCTTTATTAAGGTTGCCCGTGGGCACTCACATGGGCCCCAGCTAAGCCTGCCTGTTTGTCGGTTATATCAAACAGTCCCTCTTCAGTATGTACACTGGTATTGTTCCCCAGCTCTTCCACCGTTACATCGATGATTGCATCGGTGCTGCATCCTGCACTCAGGCTGAACTGGAGCAGTTCATCGACTTCGCTAACAACTTCCACCCTGCCCTCAAATTCACTTGGTCTATCTCAGACACCTCCCTCCCCTTTCTTGACCTCTCCGTTTCCATTTCTGGCAACAGCTTGCGTACCAACATTTTCTATAAACCCACAGACACCCATAGCTACCTAGATCACGCCTCCTCCCACCCTGTATACTTCAAATAGTCCATCCCGTTTTCCCAATTCCTCCGTTTCCATCGCATCTGCTCTGACAAGGAGATGTTCCACTCTCAAGCATCCCAGATGTCTGCCTTTTTCAAACAACGCTCTTCACCCTATCTGTAATCCATACAGTCCTCCACCACACCACCTCCATTCCCCACTCCACAGCTCTTAACCACAGCACCCCCCTTGTCTTCACTTTCCACCCCACCAGCCTCCGCATCCAACGTGTCATCCTAAAACACTTCCGCCAACTCCAATTAGACCCCACCACCTGGAACATCTTCCACTCCCCACCCATCTCTGCCTACCGCAAGGACCATTCCCTTCGCCACTCCTTAGTTCGCACCACAATCCAACCCACCCAGTACCTTCCCCTGTAACCGTAAAAGCTGCAACACCTGCCCACAGACCACCTCCCTCACCTCCATTCAAGGCCCTAAACAGTCCTTCCAGGTGAGTCAGAGCTTCGCCTGCATCTCCTCCAACCCTAGTCTATTGCATCCGGTGCTCCTGATGTGGTCTTCTCTACATTGGTGGGATCAAATGTACACTAGGTGGTCATTTCGCTGAGCATCTCTGCCTGGCCCGCAAAAGCCGACATAACCTCCTGGTCACCGCCCATTTCAGCTCCCCGTCCCTCTCCCCATCTGACATTTCCATCCTCGGCCTCCTCTAGCGTCGCAGTGACTCGATGCAAATATGAAGAACAACACTTTATCTTCTGCCTGGGTACCCTACAGCTTGAAGGACTCAACATTGAATTCTCCAATTTCAAATAAGCTTCCCACTCATCTCCTGCCTCCCCTTCCAGCCCCACCTCCTCCCTTCCATTCCACTTACTGACCCTCCCTTCCAGCCACCGACCGGATTCATGCCTCCCATCGACCAACCAGGCAGTACCTACCACCAGTGTCCACCTATCACCACCATTCCACCTCCACCCTTTCCCCCTCTCTCTTTATCTGTAGCTCCCCCTACCCCCACATCCAGTCCTGAAGAAGGATAATACCCGAAACGTTGACTGCCCGGCCTGCTGTGTTCTTCCAGCCTCCTGTTTGTCTATCAAGGGTTTGAAAGACCTACTCCTGCTCCTGGTTAACAAGCATTTAACCTGTTTGTACGAAATTCCTATTTTAACAAAAGCATGCATTTGCTTTTGCAAAACATTTGTTAACAAAACAGGAAAAGATATTTAGTGAGAACATGCTTACTGCTCATGTAATCATTCTTGCACCATATAATAAATGTCATAGAATTCCCTTAAATGTTGATAATAACGAATGGATGCTTACTCCTTATTCTATTTAGTGCTGCAGATATGGTAATGATAAAATGTGTTTCTCATTATGCTCCATGCATCTTGATTGTATTTTGCAGTGAAGAAAATTTCCCATTGAATCTTATGGCCTCATGGCAAATTATTCTAGTCGTCGTGGTACTGATCATCAGCGTTCTGCTCACTGCTGCTGTTATTCTTTATGTAAAATTAAAACAGCAGAAGAAAAGTGGTACGTTCAGTCCAGCAGAAAATCTAAAAATTTTGTTTAAAACATCCATGAAAATGAATTTGCATTTCTTTATTTAAAAACAGCAAAGTTACATTTTGAGGCCAGAGATTGCTGCTTCCTGACGGACCTGTGCCATTCCCTGCATCACCATTTAAACCGGGATGTTGCAGTTCTGTGTAAACGCAAGGGAATGAAACTCAAAGGTCAGGCAACATAGGCAATTAGCATTATTAGCAAAATGCAAAATGCCTGTTTCACAAATAGAAGCCAGAATTGGTACCCCAAAATTATTTATAAAGTTTGTAAAGCTTGGAGTTTAGACGGATGAGGGGGGAATCGAATTGAAACTTTCAGAATACTGAATGGCCTGGACAAAGTGGATGTTGGGAAGATGCTTCCATTGGTAGGAGAGTTTAGGGCCCGAGGGCACAGCCTTAGAGTAAAGGGAAGACCTTTTAGAACGGAGATAAGGAGAAACTACTTCAGCTAGAGAGTGGTGAATCTATGGAATTCACTGCCACAGAAGACTGGGGAGGCCAGGTCATTGAGTACATTGAAGACTGAAATAGATAGATAGGCTCTTGATTATCAAGGGTTATGGGGAGAAAGCAGGAGAATGGGGTTGAGGAACTTATCAGCCATGATTGAATGGCGGAGCAGACTCGATGGGCCAAATAGCCTAATTTCTGCTCCTACGTCTTATGGTCTTAAAGTGGGGAAATCAAATGTCCTATCACTGTAATCTCGGCTAATATAGGTGTTCTTGTCTGGAGCAGCAAATTGATCTCAGTGGTTCAAGGATATTACAAGGAAAGCATACATTGGCATAGTAGCAGAGGACAGGATTGGGCCTTCGGTTCTGAGGAAGGGTCACCGAACCCGAAACATTAACACTGCTTTTTTACTTCACGGATGCTGCCAGACCTGCTGAGCTTTTCCAGCAACTTTGTTTTTGGGCCTTCCTCTGATGCCTTCAACAACTGAATTATTTGATTTGATTTGATTTTTTTGAATTATTGTAGTAACATATACCTAAGTACAGTGAAAAGCTTTGTTTTGCGAGAAGTATAGGCAGATCATAGCAAACAAGGACATACAGAGCATAGGGTGCTTAGACAGAGAGAGGCATACAAGGTTATGGTTGCATTGGAGGTGCACAAAGCAAGATCAACATTAGCAAGATCGACTATTATTTGAAGTTAGAGAAGTCCATTCAGCAGTCTAATTACAGCAGGGACAAAGCTGTTCTTTAACTTGTTGGTACGTGTGTTCAAGCTTTTGTATCTTCTGCCTGACAGAAGAGATTGTAAGAGAGCATTACCGGGATGGGATGGGTCTTTGATGATGTTGGCAGCCTTTCCACAACAACAAGTGTAAATGAAGTCCATGGATGGGAATTCGGCTAACTGTACATTCAGTGCCAGAAACTGAGTATTTGAGCCAGATATTGAAGGCAGCTGGGATAAGAGAAGTGGCATGTCAGAAATAGTCAACAATCAACAGAAGACAAAGGAAATTGGTGAGCAAATTAACAAATGAGAATGTCTGCCTAACAGAAGAAGGAAAATCAGCTATTCACAAATAAAAATAGTTGGGCTACTTCCAACAACATTTTACCTTTGACTGTTACCAGCGAGGAAACCATAACATTTGTTTTACATTGTTTTAATTCAAAAGATGATCTGGATTTTATAGACTGTAGTGAAGTGATGACATCACTGCTGACATTCAAAAACGCTGCCCAGATTTCATTATCCCATTGCTAATTTCATTCTGATACCAACTCTTCAGGTTATCCAGTATCTGGTATCCATGATTCTATCACGCAGCCTAAAAAATTTGAAGGTTTCTCACAGATGGCAAAAGATGTATTTTATCATTTACTTTCTATAATTTTATAGAAAAAAAGACTTGGACATGTGCATGTGATTAAGTCACAACCTGAAAGTTGATAAAAAGTAGTATTTTAAAAGTCTATGGACTCTTTAAAATAGAATACAGAAAGTTGACATTCCATAAATATAAAATTGTTCATTCAGGGCTAGACAGATTGATCAACAATAGTTATTTAATGTGCTGTTAAAAATTCCTCTTTCATAAAGGCATAATTTTTCAAGATATTTATCGTGATTAATTGTATGAGATATGAAAACTGGCATCAATCAGTGTTGTCTAATTGATTTCCATTTATCAGGACCTCAATAGCGCACCCTGTGGAAGAACAGATTATAAGCGGCACGGTGCCTTACAGCGCCAGGGACCCGAGTTCGATTCCACCCTCAGGCAACTGTCTGTGTGGAGTTTGCACATTCTCCCCGTGTCTGCGTGGGTTTGCTCCGGTTTCCTCCCACAGTCCAAAAATGTGCAGGGTAGGTGGATTGGCCATGCTAAATTTTTGCCCATAGTGCCCAGGGACATTTAGGTTAGGTGGGTTAGACATGGGAAATTAGGGGAATGGGCCTGGGTTGGATGTTCTTCAGAGGGACGGTGTGGATTTGTTGGGCTGAATGGCCTGTTTCCACACTGTAGGGATTCTATGATCTTCTATGATCTATGATTATCATTACGAACAACTTTATAAATTTCCACGTTTAACATATATGTGCAGATAATAGAGGCTGCTGTCATTTTCACACAGCAATGTTGATGGCTTCACCGAAATAACAACTGAATACTATAGGCCCATACAAGGAGCTTTAAGGGCAGTGCAAACTATCAAAGCTGACAGAGAAGCAGGGAGAGAGGGAGATGGACAATGAGACTTTGCACGAGTATTACTAATGTCTCACAAGTGACTAATTAATGAATCAATTACAATACATTTGAAATCAATGAATTCTGTAACTGAACACAACCTCCTGATGGTATGATAAGAAACTATAATTCTTTAAGCTACCTTTCAGAGGAATAAAATCTCTACAGAGCATGGTAGCTGGTGAAACATAAATTCAGTTAGTTAACAAACTGGAATTGAAACTTGGATTGTTGTAAAAATGTATCTAGTCACTGATGTCCTTTGGGTCTGGCTTATATGTGTCCTCCAGAGTGGCCAGGTAAACCATACAGTTCAATGCATTGTCAGCAACACCCAAGTCTAGTGAGGAAAGAAAATGTAAAATACTCCTATTATAATTTTATTTTTCAGTCACAGTTGAACAGAATACTCCTGGCTTTGGTAGTCTTGCTTCCTCTGTCACGGTAAGAAGATTCTATGTCAAGCTCACATGGTGACAAAAGGTCCAAGGAGACAGTTGATAACTCTGATTGGATACAGCATGGCATGACAATATGACTATATGACACTCGCGCACGTGACCACTGATCACATCATGTTTAATTGCAAACATTACTGCATTTACTTCATAAAGGTCGGGTCACCTGGAGTTGCTGCTGTATGAGCCACTGTCTCACAGAGAGAACTAAAAGGTCACAAGTGTACTGGTGGTAAGGGCATGGAAACATAGGGGTCAAAGATGAAGAAGCAATTTGTGGAGGGGGAATCCAAGTGGGAGGACCTGTTGTTTCAACATTAGCTAGAAGCGAATCATTGGAGAAGTATTGGTAACTCATATTAATGTTCTGATGAAGAGTCATCTGGACTCGAAACTTAGCTTGCTTTCTCTCCGTGGATGCTGCCTGGCCCACTGTGATCTCCGATAACAAGGTCTAGAGCTGGATGAACACAGTAGGCCAAGCAGCATCAGAGGAGCGGGAAGGCTGACATTTCGGGCCTAGACCCTTCTGCAGAAAAAGTGATCTCCAGCATTTTTTCTGTTCTCAGTTAATGCTAGTAACATTCAGATTCCCCTTGTAAGTGAAAGCCATAGAATAATCATTGATAGTCTTAAAATAATTGGTATTAATAGGTGTGACACCATAATATCTTGGCTATGACTAGTCATAATCCTTCAACCCACTAATATTCACCCTGAAACCACAGATGGATTCCTGTTGTTGAAAAAGATGCAGTCAGGCTCCCACTTTTAACAGACATGCTCTGTCCCATAGGAACATAGGAACCCTGGAACAGGAGTAGCCTATTCAGCCCATCAGTTTCTCCTACCATTCAATACAATCATGGCTGATCAAACTTTTCAATGTCTTGTCTGTATAGCCCTACATGTTGTTGGTAATCAGAAATCTATCAATCTCTACCTTAAACATTGTCAAATATTAAGCTTCCACAGCCCCATGTTGTAGAGAATTCCAAAGGGTAAAAACCCTCTGAGTAAAATCATTTCACCTCGTCTTGGACCTAAATGGATTTCTCCTTATTTTTAATTTGTTTCCCCTGGTTTTGGACTGCCAGGCCAGGGGAAACATTTTACCTGCATCTACTCAATCTATCCATTTAAGTATTTTATCAGTTTCAAAGAGATAATATCTCATTCTTTGAAACTTTTGGGAATATGGACACAGTATGCCCGATCTCTCCTCACAGGACATTCCTGCCATCCCAGAAACAAATCCAGTGAACTGTCACTGCACTTCCTTTATAGAGTTAAGGAGAGGAAAATGGCACACAGTACTCTGGGTGTATTTCAACCAAGCTGCTATACAATTGAATTAAGACTTCACTACTCCTGTACTCAAATCCTCTTGCAATAAAGGCTAACATTTGATTAGCCTTTCTAATAAATTGCTGTAGTCTTCCTGGAACTTGGTTCAGTTTTTTTGGCTCCTTGTCAAGGTATCAAGTCTGAACTGTACATGTCAGTCGGAGCTGACCTTTAGTTAGGCTTCACATATCAAAACCAACAGGCTCAAATTCACCTGAAGTGAGCAGAGAGATTGCATATGCGAAAAGAGGGTCAGCACAATCCTCACAGGATTGCCAAGGTATCAGGTTTATTCAAGAGGTTCCATAAATGCAGCATGGAGCAGCTAGAGCAGAGCAGTATCTGCGCATCTCCCGGCCATCTGCACTCCCACAGACACCCAGGACTGGGTGTGAGCAATTAGCCATCATGAAGGAGCCAGTGACTTCTGAGTTTATTTATTTGGAATCTTAGAATTTTGCAATACAGAGGGAGGCCATTGGGCCCATTTGTCTGTACCAGCTCCTGGAAGAGCTATCCAGCTAGTCCCATTTTCCAGCCATATCTCTGCAGCCCTCTGAATTCATCACTTTCAAACATATATCCAGTATATATAGTGAATGCACATTCCTGGGAGCCAATAAATGGCCTCCTTATTTGCTGAGTTTAGGGTGATTAGTCTGTCACTTAGTCTGTAGAGGGACACCCCTCAATAAGGTACAGCCTTGTTGATTTTTCTGTCCACAAGCACATGCAGGGTTTCTTCTGAGGCCCCAGTGGTGGAGATTGACTGATTGTCCAGGGCCTCATCTTCTGCTGAACCTGTTGAACAAGGATCACGTTGACGTTAGTAGTTCAAAGCCTACCATGTGATCGATGCAGTGAAAGATACAGGTGCCATGAGAAACGGATTCTTGAACCAGGGTTGTAAGAAGTGAAAACTATCATTGATTTGGTGCAGGAGACAAAGTCCAGGGAGGGGAGGGAGTTGGGGGTGCATGCGTCAGTTTACAATAAAATCTGTGAGTGGAATTTATCCCTGTTCTGTGGTGAATTTGATGGTGGGGAGGGCACTTAACCATGAAGGAGAGTGGGAGGTGGGGACTCTGCCATCTTCCTGCCTCCCCTCCTTGATGAAATCCATGGTAGTCAGGCCCAAGGTTGACCCCATCACCAGGTGAGGCCGCTCTCAGGGTTTAAGCCAACAATGGGCCACGCGTGGTTCTTTCAGGCCCCCAGAGAGTACCCTCAGTTAAAGACAATCAGTGTCTTTTTGAGGACCTGATATTGGGCAGTGGGAGAAGGGCAGCTGAGACCCACTGCACACCCACACTCTGCATTGCACCCCTTCCTCGCCATAGCTCCAAGTCCTGTTCTCCATGAACCTTCGCTCTCTAGTTGCCTGGGTGCAATGACCTTACTGGACCTGGTGTGTCATACCAGCAGCGGCCACCACCTCCCAGGTGACGCTGCTGTTCACAGGAGCTGCCAGTCCACGATGACTCTCCAAATAAGTACCTGAGTGGTACTTAATGATTTTTCTGAAGAAGGGTCTCGACCCGAAACATCAGCTTTCCTGCTCCTCTGATGCTGCTTGGCCTGCTGTGTTCATCCAGCTCTACACCGTGTTATCTCAGATTCTCCAGCATCGGCAGTTCCTACTATCTCAGTACTTAATGCAGCTGGCTTTGCCTAAAAGACAGGTGGGGCGGGCCCTCTTGTGGTGCAGTGGTAATGCCCCTACCCCTAGGCCAGAGGGCTAAGTCAAGTCCCCAACCTGCCCCAGAGTTGTGTAATAACATCTCTGAGCAGCTTGATTAGAAACACAGATTAAATAGGGGGTGGCCTAGCTGGCTAATTAGCCTTTGGGCAAGACCCCTGTCTCCACATTTAAATACCCCCCTAGGATCTGATTAACATTGTGCCATTATTGCATTAACAGTTTTCCTTTTGTCTTGGTTTCCTCAGGAGGATACAACTGTGATGTATTCCACTGTGAAAAAGGTACCCAAAGCTAACTTGGAAAGTACTTACGTTAACCTGCAGGATCTTCAATGTCAAGGAACAGCTAAAGACCAAAGTTCTTCAGACTCTGTAGAATATTCCACAATTCTCTTCAGATCATAATGAAATAATCCAAAAGAGGAGACACGTGTGCTTTCTCCAGGCAATGCCAACAATATGTCGTAACTTTGATTTCAAAGGAGCCCCACTATACAATTTCTCAACAAGTTCCTGCATATGAACTTAGCATTGTTTTAAAGCAATTTTTTGATAGATCTATTGAGTCATTCTGTTGAGACATTACAGCATTGGACCTCAACACAGACTTGACTTCATTATTTCCCTTGCTTTTAAAATATGCCATTATCATCTAAAACAAATACATCTTGCAGGCATAAAACACAAACATTCTCTTGCAAAGAGTCAGCCTGACTTGAGGCTTTGTTTGAAGTATGCTTGGCCGTGTCAGTTAAGAGGCTGTAGATATTCTGACACTGTTTTCTTCTGTTAATGAAGAGTTTCCCTGTCTATTTTAAAAGTGCTCTCATTTCCTTATACTTTTGTTAAGTTTGATGCTTGAAGTGTGGCAGCTAGCAAACAGAAACATTTAAAGACATGAGACGTATAGTTTTATTCTTTTATAAGTTGTAGCTTTGGTGGAAATTATTTGACCACATCTGTTTTGCTTCATAGATGTGTAAATAAGTTATCTATAGAATTACAAATAAATACCAATACTGACTGCAAATGTGAAACCAGATATAAAGTATTGACACAAAAATAATTGTCTACTTCTGTGCACATCATATGGGAGGTATTTCCCATTAACCTCTTCAAATATGTTATTATATACCTCTGGAACAGATGTGACTTGAACCTGAACCTCTTGGTTCAAAGATATGGGCATTACTATTTTGCTACAAGAATCTTCATACTACAAATCTCAGCTCCAACAGATGAGCTATCGAAGGGGAGTCACCACAAGTCTATTTTAGTGTTGGGTCTTCTACAATATTAGATAAGAAACTCACCCAATAGCCTTTATTGTCACATGCACTCGAGCGAATGCAGTGAAATGTTTGTAATGTCGCCTATTTGGTGCTATCTTACATACAGGGTACCTAGGTACAGATAGTTTAATGTTACAGAGTTGAAAGAGTAAAAAAAAGACTAGCATGGGAATACAAAGTTTAAAAAGTGCAGAATGAAAATAAAAGGTATCTTTAAAGTACTCAATTTATCCTCCTTTTCACTGAGTCCATCCCCACCAATCTTCAGAACATGAGGCCTCGCTGCATCCATGTGCTGTCCTTCCTCCCGGACTCGTCCCCCCGGCCGGCCTGGGCTCAATCTGCTCCCGCTCCGGGCCCCAATCCCCAACTTGGATCCCAGCTCAGCCCGTTCTCGCCCTGCTCCCGCTCCGCGCCCCAATCCCCAACTCGGATCCCAGCTCAGCCCATGCTCGCCCTGCTCCCGCTCTGGGCTCCGGCCGCGACTCGCTTCCAGGACTCGCCTCCCTGGTCCGCCCAGGCTTGGTCTGCTCCCACTTCAGGCTCTGGCTGTGACTCACTTCCCATGCTGACCTGGTCTCTGACTCATCTCCCGCTCTGGGCTGGACTCGGACTTGCTTCCATTCTCCATTCCCTCCAGGTAAGGTCATTTAAGAAGTTAAAAGTTGTTGGGGGAGGGTGAGGAGAAATCTGCAGAAAACGAGAAAAAAAGGAAAGGAAAAGGAACGAGCAGGCAGAGGAGTTCCAGCTATAGTAGGAACTGCAGATGCTGGAGAATCTGAGATAACAAGGTGTAGAGCTGGATGAACACAGCAGGCCAAGCAGCATGAGAGGAGCAGGAAAGCTGACGTTTCGGGCCTAGACCCTTCTTCAGAAATGGGGGAGGGGAAGGGGATTCTGAAATAAATAGGGAGAGAGGGGGAGGCGGATAGAAGATGGATAGAGGAGAAGATAGGTGGAGAGGAAACAGACAGGTCAAAGAGGCGGGGATGGAGCCAGTAAAGGTGAGTGTAGGTGGGGAGGTAGGGAGGAGATAGGTCAGTCCAGGGAGGACGGACAGGTCAAGGGGGCAGGATGAGGTCAGTAGTGAGGAGATGGGGGTGGGGTTTGAGGTGGGAGGAGGGGATAAGTGGGAGGAAGGACAGGTTAGGGATGCGGGAACGAGCTGGACTGGTTTTGGGATGCGATAGGGGGAGGGGAGATTTTGAAGCTTGTGAAGTCCACATTGATACCATTGGGCTGCAGGGTTCCCAAGCGGAATATGAGTTGCTGTTCCTGCAACCTTCGGGTGGCATCGTTGTGGCACTGTAGGAGGCCCAGGATGGACATGTCGTCTGTGGAATGGGAGGGGGAGTTGAAATGGTTCGCGGCTGGGAGGTGCAGTTG